GAAATATTCTCAGCGATTGAAATATAACTAATTCCAACGTTTCGTCCAGCTAACTTGTCTGGACTTCTTCAGGGTAATAATCAAAATCAAAATTATCAAAGAAAGTACATTATTGTTACATCATGTAACAATAGGTTCAAACGTTTAACCAACCACAAGGCTTGTTGAGGAAAGTACACGTGACCACCTCACCTTGAAGTCACGTGGCTATGCCATTGAAAAGTACACCCAAGCCCACAATAATAGTATTTCAAATTCATTGGGTGATCGCTAGGTCACAGGATATGATCGTTAGACAGACATATATCAGCGCAATCGATAGCCTGGATATCAAATCTTTTCGTATATTTTTTGCAATATTGTAATTAGAGCTGACTGAACAACTAAACGGAAGGAAGAGAATCAACTAAACAACACGTGCCAATCCAATTTATTTTTTTTTATTATAGAAACTTATCGAAAATTTCTAAAAATAGAAAAGGAAATGGCCCAGTTACACAAGCCGCAGTGCATTTAATAGTAATCACTTATGATCGTTGGAAAATAATGATTTGTTGACAACTAGACAGTACTTAAAATGTATTGAGCCTTATAACATTAGGTCATTCCTCAGAGGTGTTTATTCATAAAAGCACTAAAAATTTAAGTATTGTGATTGAAAACCCACTGAGCAATAGCGTGCATTAGCTAGCTTACAAATAATCATATCAATAATAAAGTCATTTTGTAAAATGTAAAGTGAATAATCAGTATTTTGAGTTTTACATTTTATCTTGAATTGTGCAGAAAATGTATGTTTCTATTTGTATGGTTAGCAACAAATATTGGTATTTTAATGGTTGGAAACGTCCTATATGTATTACTAAAAATTCTACCTTTAACCTGACATTCAAGAAATTACGCAAGATTATCCAATCGTAGCAACAATAATGACAACCATAGAAAGAAATCCCCTATCTGAAGTTGTTGTTCTTACTATCGTAAACATTACTATTACTTTACTTCTTTCTATGTATCCTGTTAATCTCTCATCAAATTATGTTAATATGACGTGGAAACTTAAGGTTAAAACATACTTTTGACAAATATCACTTCGTTTATGTCTACTTGAATATGGGGTTAGCTCAAAATATCGTATCACTCAACCATAATTATTTATCTTGTTGCCAGCAGCGTATACACACGCCTAAAGACACAGAAACAGATGGATGGACAAACAAATAGTTGCCAATGTGAGAAAACTAGGCAGAATCACAAACGCAAAAGTGTGTACATCTAATGAGACGTTTTTCCCTAAAATATAGACATATAAAATCCACAAAATATAGGGAACCGTTAAAAATGACAACAAGGGAAAATAAAGAAATGAAAAGGGAAATGACACTTCAGTCCTATGAAAAGCATCCCTTTAATTATGACTAGGTTTTATTCGCATTACCTGATCTATACAACCGATGAGTTTTATCAACTTATTATTCACTAAATACGATCAGTTTTACCAATACAACTCAAACACTTTCAATAACTATGGATTATTGTCGCGTTTTGATGAATGTGATTTGGTAACCAAATAAGTAACTATATATATATATATATATATATATATATATATATATATATATATATATATATATATATATATATATATATATCATCTGAAGAGACATTATGAGGAAATAAGCAGTACTAAACTGTTCTGTAAAACAGTTTCAATGGAACTTTTATTTAAAAAATACTATTCTGAATTTTCAATTTGTGAAATACTTATAGATTCAGTTTTATTACATCTATTTTAATTGCTTAGAAGGTAGCTTATGCAATGAAATACTTGTACATTACATTTATATTACATAAATTTAAATCAGCTACATAGAAGGGTCCTAGGTGTCCACTGTTGAAGAGTTCCATACTTAGATGAAAAGACCGTTTAAAAAAACATCTTGTTTCCAGCGTTCTTCTAGCGAAATACAGTTCGTAATGTAAGTTACATTTAAATTTACAAATATTTAGTAATTCGTACAACATTCGCTTATTTATCAAAAAAGTAATCCCATAATTTAGATTGAACTTGAATGCTTCATCTTCATGAAATGACAAGAAAACATGGAAATACAATTTATTAGAATACTATTCTAACACTCAGTTTTCGGGTGAAATCATACTAAACTGATGAAGCAATCATATTTGATATTTTAGACGTTGAATTTTCAACTAAAATTAAAAACACGGTGGCGGGAAGCTACTGTCTTGTCAAAAGTTGAATGCAGCCTATCAGTATTCTAGTTACTAAGAGTCTGGAAATCGGTAACATAATAAGACCAAATTATATGGAATATAAATCATAATATCTTGAAGGTAACTTGGATGTTTTTGATATTTAAAATAAAAGAACTACGTTCACAAGTATTTATCCATATGACGATAAACCATTCTTTGTTCCATTTCCAACCATGATCCCTTGCCCTAACCTTTATATCCTGATCTCAATCCTAATGTTTAACAATAATCTATAAAGTGTAGTGCTAACCCTAACTCCTAAGCTAAATTATTCATTTATATCACTCGTGTTTTGGTTTATTTTTTTTCTCAAGGTCGACTCAAAACTCGCTAAAAGTTGTCAACTAAGTTAATTTCAACAGTTATCATTTAAAGTTGACTCTAAGTAATGAGCATTATTAAACGATGAGATGTAGTGATATCTACATGAGTAATTTAATAATCAAAGTTACAAAAATCCTCAATATAAATACGAAATATCAACTATTTCTTCTATATATGGATAATGTATACGGTTTATTGCTTCATAGAATTTATAACCCTTTTACTATCCACTTATGTCTAACTGAGACGTATGACCCTACATTAGAATGTCCATGGGTTTGCAGATCTGTTATCTTCTGATTACATTGACTGCCAATTGTATTGTATCAGTTATAGACTAAAGCCAAAAATGAAGATCATTGAATTCACGTTCAGTGATCTGTAGGTACAATACTCAGAGTTACATCAAATGTTTCTGAATTTTATCTCTTGTGAAATTGTGGGTACGCATCGATATTCAGTCTCAAACCAATAAGAAACAGTTATTCACTTCTCTTTTATTGGACAAAATGTGACAAAATCAATCTTTTTATTACAATTTATTCAGTGAAGCAAACCATTCTGGCGACTTCGTTCCATCACACTGTAAAATATTTAATAAGTTTCTATTCTCAAACACATACAATAATAATAATAGAGGATTACTTTCACCTATTTTACTTGATCTTCCAATTATTATACACAATCAAACTGCAATTTCATGTATTTAGTTTCCTTTACAAATTTAAATCATAAACAAGAATGACATTAATTATAGAACATGATGAATGCAGTGGTCTTGAGTATTGTTAAAAGTATGAGGACAGTTATCACTTCCCGGTTGCCCACACCGTGGAAGAGTTCTTCTAGAGGTACTTGAAAAAGAAATTGGATAAAAGGTGGTCTTAGTGACCTGAGAGCGTGACCACAGTGCCCAAGGGACAACTGCTTGAAGTCGGTCACACACAACTTTTTGTGAGTAATTTTTGTGTTAGCTCCGTACTTGTTGAGACCTTATCACCGGAGACGGATATCCGTGGGATAAGGTGAGGTGTACATTTTTATGGTCGACCTTTTCTAACCCAACCCCTCCTTGTGGGAAGGCAGCATCTCTGTTGTGCTGGTTGTCCGAGGGAAACACCTTACTGCTGTCACACCTTTGTACAATCAGCAGTACGACCTCGCTCTCGGACTTTGTGTTTGCTGCTTCTAGTTCTGCCGTTGTTCAACCGACCTATCTGGCATGGTAAGACCTTGTGGAACAGTTTTTTCAGCCAGCATAGCTCGATTGGTTCATCACAATAGGCAAGCCCAACCACCACGTCAAGGTAGCAGCAACGGTCGAGACAGAATATAATACATTCACTGCATTACATTACTTCCTCTTTAGTATTCTTTACACTGTATATGGCTGCATTTTTGTTAGCTAACCATCAACACCAATAATTTATAATGGAGAAAACGAATCATAGAGATAATTGATCTTATTAGTATACTAGATTTACATATTTTGACTTGTTTATACATTTCCATACAGCTGTTTCAAGCAATTATAAATTTTGAAAAACCTGTTAAAAAACCCAATTCCTAACTACTGCATTCACTCTATATGGACCTATCCAATTAGTGCAAATTACAAATTATATTTATAAATCATTGTATTCTTCAATTAATCTTGTTCTGTTTTTCCATTTAAACCTACGTTTATTCCAATATCGGAAAGGATACATAATAAATGACAACTGATTCACAAAGTATTTTTTTTAATATAACATCACAAGAATTAAAATATAACATAATTCTACACTTTTCTATCGAAATAAAGGTAATAGGCAATTTCGGTAAAGCTGTGCTATACCGGCGTCCTTGAGCGATCAATTAAAATTAAGCTAACCGATGCCAAAATTTATAACGCTGTTACGGAAAGCTTGTTGGTAAAACTTATGATTTTTTCAATATTTCGTATTTCGAAAGGAATGTATGATGGTTTCCTCAATGAACCGTTACGGTCAAGATGTTTGGGTTAGAAGTATTAAAGTTAAGAGATTTAAAGTTAGAATTCAGGTTTAAGGTTAGGAGTATTAATATGAAGAGCTAATGTTGAGGAGTATTAGGCTTAAGAGCTTTGGGTTTAGGAACTAGGATCTAAAAAATTTAGGGTTAGGAGTCGGGTTTTAAAAGATGTAAAGCTAATAAACAGGGTCTTTTCGGATTACGAAACTATGATATCAGACACGAATTATCGATATTTAGTTAAAACTCCTAACCCTCGTATTTCATTTGTCTATATTTTTAGAGTTCTTACACGAAAGTCACATCGTGTTCTGCTAATCTCAAGGCATTTCATAAATTCGGCGGTCGTAGGTGTAGAATAGTCCTGCCGAATTTTCTTTTTTAAAAATAATGAAAATCAAACTCACGGGAGACAATCTTCCGCTTCATAATTTGGCTTAATGGGATTTGGACGCTTTTGAACACGATTAACTTCCATATGAAGACCTTCCAATACATATCGTAAGAATTCTTGTGAATCCTGTTGACTAGAAAAAAATTAGCTTATAAGATATATTCACTGACGACAAAATATGTCGGTAATATTACCAAACCCCCACCAGTGAAGTATTCATAAGATCAGAATATTAAATGTAAATATGTATACAAGATAGGAAATTTGAAACTTTAATACCTCAAGCATAATTTTAGCATTATTATTATTATCATCATCACTATCGTCATTAATATTACTCTTAATGGCTTTGCTCAACATTAGTTGTATGGTACAATATCGAATTCTAATCACAAAGTATCTCAACAGGTTTCTTTTACAAAGCAAACCAAAGAAACAATAACTTCATACATATATATTTAAATGAAGAAAATACCAGGAATTAAACGAAACGTTTTCTAATAAGATTAGAATTTGTACGACTTTTAGTTAGAAACATGTTTAACCATACAAGTTATTGACTTGGTCAGCTCTCACAATCTATTCATCACATAGTATATCTGCTAGATAAGGTTAATCAGATAAAAGCAATGTAGAACCTGCCACATATGTGCATCTGGCCAAACTGCCACAATATATCAATGCAGTCAGATAAAATTATCAAGATAACTACCAAAATAGTGGTAACATGATGACTTAGATTGATTGTTTGTGTGTTAGACCATTAACTTTCCAATCATTAGGTCATAGATTCGGATCCATTTTCTATCTATATCAGCCGGATACCATAATCACCCTTTATATATGGATGGAGTTTTCAGTAAATGAGTTGCATTGCAGCAAATCAATGTATCATTAAAACTATTCACTCAAAACATTCACATTATTCTCAACCATATTTCTTAAACGTTTAGCTCACTACTGTAATTAATCTCATAACAATCATTATTTCTACTCTTCTGTTTTTCATTTAATTTCCTTTCGTTATGATGCTTATGTGAAATGTGACAACGTGGATCGATACACATTTGTGCCATATTCTAGGTTGATTATCATTGATTGAATGAATGAATGAATGAATGAATGAATAAAAAACTATCTAGATTTTTGCCATTCACGGTCAATACTGATTTGACAGTAAATAAATTATCTATAACCTGTAAAATCATAATTAGATTTTACTTAAATCTTACAAACAATATTAATATTATGCTGTCCAGAATGACAATGTAAACGCTTAGTAATCGAACTATGTAATTCAGGGTACTCAACATCACCAAACGGTATTGATTATAGCAATTGTTTCTTGGGGCAAAGAATTAATCAGTAGTATAGTATATACTTTGTGAAAGAATTCTTATTACTTACATTGTAAAGCTATTCCCTTCAACTATTAATCATTTTGCTAGTATTCAAATAGATGGATTAAACTGCTATAAGGATAAAGCTTTTATTGTTTTTTTTTCTGTAAAGAAGAACCATACATTTGAAACTAAATGATCTGCCACAATTTGATTAGGCAACCAATTAAATACAGAAAGGATCGGATAGCCGTCTTGTCCTAGTACATCCATGACCATAATAGGCATCCAGGACCTTCAGACCACTGAAGTTAATACACAATGTTTACATCTCTAGCTTCAGTCAGTTCGCGTTGCTTCGTGACCATCATCCATTGCTGTTATTAGTGTGCTTCACTCCCAGTGTGGTTGGATTCCACCGGTCAACGCTTCTCCAGTTCTTCTGTGTTTACAAAGGTTGGCTAACCAAAGTCAGTCTGTGGTGTGAAACAAATGCTTATTTATCAACGGGTGGCTAACAGCTTTTGAAAGTTAGTATACACACAGGTTACAAACTATGCTAGCTTTACATTAACTATCTGCAAAAATACATATGGAAACTAAAAATATGATTAAAACAACAATTTAGAAGATATGTCGATGTGATCTGTGTTGGGATGCTAGGTCCCCAAAAATCACTTGGTAAGCGTCTTATTTTTTAAATTTTATTTCGGAATTTTTGAATTTCTCTTTTTCGCACCAAAAGAGCTTATTTCTACCTTCAAGTTACATTTTCCACTTGGAAGGACCCTATATATCATTGGTTCGTTGCCTCTTTTAATATGCTGTTTTGTGAGATTTCTCAAGGACATTTTTATGATGGATATATACACTTGAGTTGTGTGCATGTGGTTGTTCGTGCTTCTGACTGCTTGTGGAACATACTATTCATTCATCTGGACCTGATCTTCTCGCTCTAGTTAGCGGAACTGAGGTGTATAGGAATATTCTAGCTTGTCTTGTTGTTGTGTCACTGACCCTTCGTTCCGTTCGCTCATTTAGGTGATCTAATCTCTTCAAATATATCGATCTGTCATCAGGAAAGTTATTTACTCAGTAACAGGATAAGAGCTGTTTACGAATGTGTATCAATCCAAGTTGTCAAGCTAACTTTAGTAGGGTTGGCAAAGAGGAAACAGAAAATAACAATATCGATTACAGAGGGGAAAATAAACATAAGAAATGTAGTTTGAAATGAACAGATGAAATTGAGGACCTGAATTTGCAGAGAAAAATAAAGAATAAATAAAAATGCACCCTTCCAATCGATGACAGAGCTATTTCATTGACTACACCTTATACTTAGATTACGATATTCTACCGACTTGTGAAATAAGAAGTTTATACATGCTTATGACTTACTCATCTACTGAACTCTTTTAAGACCAGGTTTGATAGCCATAAATGGTAATACTTTAAAATTACTACCAAAAATATCCTTTTATTTCACACTACTTAAACTTTCATGTAGATACGAAATTATAAATAGATGATGAAATATATACTTACGAATATCCCATAAAGCGAGGAGCGAATCGTTGAATTTGACTTTTAAATCGACTTGGACTGGTGGAAGAATTAGCCAAATCAGGATCCCAAATTTCTTTCATTAAATCAGCATATGCTATTTGATAATGATGAGGAAAACGGAGAAATAAAATATCAGTCACTAAAAAATAGTGTTTTTTACTGACATACCCAGTGTATTGTTAATAATCAATTTCAATGGTGGAGATCATGAGTCAATTGAAGCTAGACCACCATGGAAAACCTGAAAGCACTGGTTAAGCGCTCGCGCGCGAGACTGATAGGTCATGGATTCGAATCCCACGAGGCGGGATCGTGGATGCGCACTGAGGAGTCCCACAATAGAATGAAACGGCCGTCCAGTGACCCCAGGTTTTCCATGGTGCTCTAGCTTCAATTGACTCATGATCTCAACCAATGGAATGAATTACTATAATATCCACAAAAACCCTACTTGATATTAATAATCAATTTATCAAATATTTTATAATGGTGGAAATTCCCATTCAAACGCTTAGTGGAAAAAAATGAATAGAGAAAGGAAATATTTCTTCTCTTTATTCATATTTCTCGTAAATTCCTTATTTCTTAAAAAAATAATAAACTACTAGTGATTATGAGGTCAGTAGGCCAAATCTAAAATACCGAATAGAGATTATTAGACTTGATTATTGCTTCAATGAGAGACTCAAGATAACTAAGTAGTAAGCAGAGTATGTTTACCGTTTTGCAGAAATGTAAGAGATACAAATATTATTACAAAAAGTTACATATTTATATTTAATCCATTTCAGTAATTTGTTCACTATTTTATATCACCACGGGATTTGAATCGACAACTGCATCTCTGTGCTAAGGTGGTGTGGCAACTCGAACTGATGTACGTACGTACGAAGTTCTACGTTGTTACTGACTGACTGACTGACTTATATCACAGTTACTGACTATACATCGTTAAAGTTTACATACCAAAAAAAGAGACAAAATAACAATTCAAGTTCAACCTACAATGAAATAACATCCCATTCATGGAACTTGATTTATTGATGTCTTTGAGAAATCGATCTTCCAAGCAATACTCGGTAAGCGGAGCTGTATTACTTAAACATTGAAGAATCGAATTCATAAAACACTAAAATGAGAAAAAGGAGAAGGGAATTAGGGTATGAAAAGAGTCAGGTAATTACGTAAATAACATAGTATATGGTAAATAGCAAACCAACACAAAAAAATGTCCCGCTCATTCTTATATGTATCATATTTCATAATGAAGCAAGTTATATTCAATGGAAATAGTGGACGACATTTATTGATTAGAAAATTAGGTCAAAGGATGATTGAGCAACTAATGTATACCATAAACTGATAATATATGATAGTTAACAAGCAATGTCTGAGCCCGGTTGAATAACGATTGTATGTTTGAAATAAAAAGAAAGTTAGCTAGAAACAAATTCAAGTAACCAATAAGTAACAATAAAAGGTTTTCAGTATCGAAGACCTGGTTCTGATACAAAAATGTATAAAGTCATATCTTAATCGATCGTTCACTTATTATTTTCCACTAGATATTGATTTCAAGGATATTTTTCTCACATGCTTTTTTGTTCCATCGATGAGACTATAATTTATGGACGATCTTTGAGCGACGCTAAACTAACCTTGAGAGTGTCCACCTACTTACTAGGGCTAAATGAGGGTTATAAAGCAGTTTGAAGAATAACGATTATGATTCACAGTTGATGGTTAGGGTTAGGAATTAGATTTAGAGTTTACATCACGAATTGACATCAGCTATAATGCAAAGACTCCATTTAGCCAAATGGGTGAATGAACTTCGCGCCAAAATCTATGACTTGTCATCGTAAATCTGATTGGTTCGTCCATAAATTGTAGTCTCGCCGATGTTGCTATTCAACTTGTTTATTTCATCGCATCGTGCTGATAAGATATGGGACCTGGTTCACGTGCCTACTGTAATCACTTAAGTAATATATCATATCCGCTGAGCCATCAAACACACGTGGATTAGAAAACAAAAAATGTAACGTTTTAAATGTAAACAAGTTAATTAACCATTAGAGTATATAATAAAAGTTATTTATAACTAACTCAAAAGAAGAATAGATTTATAAATAACAGTTTTATCAACGAACAAATTCATCGAATTATTTTTATTCACAGAAACAGATCTACCAACTGAAACAATCTACTTGTCAATAAAATTTTTTTTACAATAAAAAAGTTTATTAATCTTCGAAATATTTTCTTCACACTAAATACTTGCCAAATTATTAATCGATTTCATGTTATTTTTAATCAACTCAATTTGAGTAGCAATTAACAGTATGTATGTGTGTATATATAACGATTTAGTTTAGTTTATATCAGTCAGTCAGTCAGTCAGTTACAACGTAAGATCAGGCACATATATGCATCGGTTCAAGTTGCCACATCTCATTAACACAACAAGATGAACACCAGATTCATAGAAGTAGTTACTTCAATGGTAGTAATAAATAAAAGAAAGATTGTATATAAGCATATAATACAGGGAGAGAGAATTAGTTCATAGAAACAAAGGTATAAAGCGATTTTAATCTCATAGTTCAGGGGAAGACAAAGAGTACATACACCGATGCTATTGTGATCGATTCTGAGACATGTCATACACACTCTCCAACCATTGGTTACGAAAGTCACGCGGACACCAACCAAGTAGTCTGCATCTACCAACATGGCTAAAACTAGAAGTTAGTGACTTCAAGAACTGATACCAAGTTTTGGTTTGGCCGCCACTAGCTTCCTCCCAAACGTCTCCAACACTAGTCATGGTAATCGGTGTTCAGGTATACGCAACACGTGACCCAACCATCTCAGTCGATGAAGATTCACAACCTTATCAACTGATTTACCATCACTCCCAGCAGATGTGAGCTATATGGTATCAATTTGTATTGGTCAGTATTATTATAATTCACATATAATACCACAGTTAAGAAGGATATTTAAATAATATCACAACTTTTTAGAAAAAAACCAAAAGTAAGTTGAAAATACTTCGAAAAGAACGAATGATATCAAAGAATGAAATGTAATAAGTGAATTTAAGCTTAAAATTTTGAAGAAAATAGATAATGAATCCAACTGTGTAAATGAGATCAATTTGTGACATATAAGTCTACAATCATACACATATTACGATCATTGTGTGGATTTTAACCAAAAAGTTTTTATTTCAACTTATAAATACACCAAATATCTAGGACTTCATAGTTGAATTTAATAGAAACAAATAAATCAATTAACTTTAACTCTGTCGGCAAGCGAAAGAATTCCTAACTTTGTAGAAATGCCACTACTATCGACATCTCAACAACATTTTACAAACCGCACCAATAAAAACAGTGTGTTGAACCAAGGATCCATGTATGAACGCATCAATGTTATGTATTACCTAACTCAGTAAGACAAACCAGAACTTTTTATATGCTGAGATTATTCTATTTCATTAATTTTCTACATTTACTTAGTGCGTTATTAGTATAACCTCTGGAAAGTGATGTATAGTTAAAATCATACATCCTATACCTTTTTATATACATATACATTATCCCGTTTCTTGTTTCCTGAATAAATAAAGAGGTTTTAAGAGTGACTATGAACCTACAACCATTATGACGAGTTATCTGAACGTCGAGTTGTAAAAATTGAAATAACTTTTTGTGACATAACATTGTCTTCTACCTAAATTTTACTCCATACAATGAAGAGTTAGGGGCGGCCAAACCAAAACATGGCACTAACTTCTAGTCTGAGCCATGTTGGTAGATGCAGACTACTTGTTTGGGGTCCTCGTGACTATCGTAACCAATGGTTGGAGACTCTTGGTGACATGGCTCAGAATCGATCACAAAGGCGTCGGTGTATACACTATCTGTCTTCCCTTAAACCAAGAGATTAAAATCACTTCATATCTTTCTTTCTACGAACTAATTCTTTCTTCGTGTACTATATCCTTATTGCAACCTTTTCTTTTATATATTACCACCTCTGAATTAACTACTTTTATGAACCCGGTGTCCATCTTGTTGTGTTAATGAGGTGTGGCAACTTGGACCGATGCATATATGTGCCTGGTCCTACTTTGTAACTGACTGACTGATACAATGAAGAGGGAAAAGATAGAAAAATTTTATTGTAAGTGTTAATCTTGTTTCAACTTTTTATCATTTTTTAAATACTTTCCCATACCATACCATTATCACGTTATTTGATAGGATCTTTGCAATTATATTTTCATCTTTTTACAAAGATCTTTGATAATTAAATTTCACAGATTTTAAAAGATATAAAACCATTAGTTAATATGACCATTTAAAAATAATTAATATTTTCTTTATCAGTTTATTATACACTTCTTTATTAAACGAATAATAACTTATTTTTTGATTGAGATCATGAACCGATTGATGTTAGACCACCGTTGGAAACCTGCAAGCACTGGATGGCCGTTTCGCCCTATTGTGGGACTCCTCAGTAGTGTGCACCCACGATCCAGCTCGTGGATTCGAACCCAGGGCCTTCAGTCTCGCGCGCGAACGCTTAACTGAACAATCTCCACAACCCCTAAACTGATAATAACTTATTTGTTTGCTTATCTGATCGCTCGAAGTGTCTTAAGTGAGTTTAAGTGTTATTTGATTGATACAAACTAAAAACGTTTATATATTAATGCTAAATGCTAAAAACTAGCTCAGCGTCACTTTGAAAAATCAGTTTGCAGTAAATTATTTTATGAACGAATTTGTAACACATTTTTAGATTACAATAATTCCACATAAAATATGTAAATCTACATACTGTAACACTTTAGAGATTTTACTTCGTTGAATTAATGGTAAAGCTATACGATAATTAATACTTCAGATTTTTTCAATTAAAATGTGTGCTACAAGGATGATAACATTTGACTTACAGTGTTTCCAAGATTGTTAAGGCCCACAAGTCCACCTCTGTGATATGAGTGATGAGAGTTTACTGGAAGACTGATTGGTGCACGAGGAGAATTAGCTACTGGAGAGTCCAAACAACGTACAGAATTCCTGCTGTTATAAGTGTTATTGATTTCCGAAAATTCCCGTCGATCTATAGACTGGAGATTTTTGGTCGAGCAATAATCAGTGTGATAACCGTTGCACAACTTTTTACTTGAATTAGTGTTTTCATTTAGTTCAAGTTTTGAAAAGCGACCATTCAAGTCACTTGACCTGTCATTTACATTGCCACCGAGACTTGATGTGCTGCTATTCCATAATGTGGAACCTGATTTCTAAAATAAGTAATAAGTAAGTATTCAAGCTAACAGTTAACTTAAAAATGCAACGTTTAGATACGACACAGACTTTCGTACATGGACACAACTTAGGCAGCTTAAACGATAGTAGGACTGCTGCGAAATATCAAAGGGAATTTTAAACTAACTACCAGAGTTTCCAGCTTTTACTACAAAATTAATATGATCACAGGATGGGGTTTTGTTCCACAGCGAAAGACACTATGTCACGCTGAAATAATGAAACGTACCTTAAACATTGAAATCAACTAAGTTTAGAATCACTGACTATCGCAGAATAGTAACCGCATGTTTTAAAATATCAAACAAATAGTAAATAAACAAACTTCGGGACTGAAATGCCCGAAGAATACTGATATATATATATATATATATATATATATATATATATATATATATATATATATATATATATATACTTATAGACGCTGACTGAGGATATTTACAAACAGAACTGTTGTGACTGGAAACTTCTGAGACATAACTAAAAGAGGAAAATCAATATCACATTTAAAACTAAAGTGCTACGAAATAAATTAGGAAAATATAAATTCCATTAGGTTACCAGGACCGTATTTTATAGTGAATTATTGAGAACGATTCAGAATACTAGCGATGTTTTGCTGGTTTGCACTTTATAGCAAGGTTCTTTTTTAGAGGGCAGTGTTTCTAACCCTACTCCTTACCCTCCTTTACATGGGCTTGGGACTGGCTCTAGGCGATGTTAAGTGAGAATCAAAAAAGTTAAGGAGAACTGGTAATATTCACCTAAATTACACACACAATATAGCAGTTGTAATAGCTCCAGAAATGCGGTGAAAATTATTCATTGCAAACACAAATTAATTTTATGTGCGTTGGGAAAGGTATTCATCTACTTTGGAAAAGCTTCCTATGAAATGTAGAGTTAATGCTAACTATACTTAACCAGAACCAACAATTTAAGATGTCTAATAACAAGAACATAAAAAATATAGATGAGTGTAAATTTAGTCAGCCATATATAACGCAGGACCTGGCACAAATCCCCATTGGCGTACGTTGCGACACTAATTTCAACTGAGAAACAACTAGACGATTGAAAAAAACATCCACTGAAATGGGAATGGAGACATGCAAAATATAGCTCAAAAAATGAGGCTAAAAATAAAGTGTATTGAATGACAATAAACCATAGGTTTAGAGTATAAATAAGTTGGTGCAACTGAGAATAATTTTAAGACATCTCACCCACCGTGGACTAAGATTATTGTTCTAGTCCCAATTAAGAAGACTACATATTTACACATGGTTCAAACCAATGACTGACAACTTCAATTGATATTATGTCTAGGTTTGACAGTTTATAAACATTTTCAGCCGGTTGTAACTGCCGGTATAGCAGACTGATAAGTTCTTCGATGTACCCGATACACATTCAAACAACCTAACGAAGTCTCACCACAAGATTTCACTGAAAAGATGTGGTAATGATGATGATCCAGCTATAGACGTCTCTTATACGATGAAAGCTAAGAACCTTAGGGAAGAAATTTTTTGTTGAAAAAATTTTGATAGATAAAAGCGGACAGTAAGATGTTAACTTAGCACAAATACTTTTCTTCCCATAGCTAAAAACCAAATATTGCTTCGAATTTCAAGTCATTCATAACCTGAAATGATACATATGAAGCGAACAGCAAAATGTCTCAAAATGAGTTTCAAATGGGCTACAAAAAAGGCAGTGATTTTGTACTTTCTGTGATTATCCTTGCTTTTGTGTAATTGTTACATCAAAACGCCACTACACATTCTTGGTCCACATCAAAGTACTTTAGTTAAGGTTTGAAATCTTGCTAAAGTTTGTCTTGTGGTACCCTTTTACTCGTTGACTGATACTCGTGTTCATAATGTGATCATATTGTGTTTTACACCTTAATTTGACTAAAATGGTTGGTAGTACTCACAAATATGGACAACCAAACTGTTTGTTCCCTGTGGAGGAAGGAATGCAGTGTGATGAATGCAAAAAGTGGTTCCATAAGATGTGCACTCGTTTAAGTCCCACCGCATAAAAAAGATGTTCGAAGCCTAACTCACATTGGCTTTGCATGTTTTGATGTGCAAATTAGACGTTACTAATACAGGATGCTATGAGCCTATTGGCTTTGGCCTGTAAAAAGAACGATGGCGCATGCTCTGATAATACGAGCATTGACAGTGACGAATGTGTCAGTGTATTACGTGCTGTTACGAGACGCCTCAAACACCCGACAGTGACTGACGGAAAAGTGAAATCTCCGTTAACATTAACGAGGGGGTAGTACCACCTGACACTGACATTGGTAACCATGCACATCTAATGGAAACTGAAGATCTGGATAAAACCGTTACCGTTCCAAATAGTCCTGAGGGATGAAAAATGGACTACAGTACGGAGAAAACGAAACAAAAAAAGCTGTAGGCAGTGCGCAGGTGGTTAGCAAGTCATTGGTGGACTCCGATTGTGAGTCACAAAATACACTACCAAAATCTGATGGTAAGAGAGAAACCCACCCTGGCGTGACTGAGAAGAAGAATCTAATATCATCGAATATTATTGTGAGCAAATTGCTGGAGTCAAACAACCCTGATCCCAAAATTAGACACGCGCATGATTTAGAGAAGCTGGGAGAATATATTCGTAGTATCTTACCAGATAACTCTAAAGGCGTTCAGGTAAAAAAACTGGTTAGAATAGACAAGAGGAGCAAGGACAATGTTGAACCTCGACCATGCAGACTCCTTAAGGTAGTTCTAGGATCGGAGAAGCAACGGCATCTCCTGTTAAGCAGCGCTAGTTGTCACGAAGAGAGCACTAGCTGAACTAGAAACCCGTCGGTAAAACGGTGAGGAAAATCTCCGGTTAGTGGGTTCTCGGATAGTCAGGTCATGGAAGCGAATACTACCAAGGCGTGTATGGATAGGCTATTCTACCTAGGATATTTATATGCCAACGCTCGTAGTCTAAGAAATAAGTTCTCTGAACTAGAAGCATTAGTGGACAGATTAAAACCACTCATTGTAGCAGTGACAGAAACTTGGTTAGTCCATGACTTAGACATTACTCTAGAATTATCCGGATACCATTACCTCAGGAGTGATAGACATAGATGTAGAAAAGGAGGTGGCGTCCCGTTATATATAGCCAATAATATAAATATCCGCTCCTCTGTTAGCGAATCCTATGATGGCGGTACTTGTGAAGTCATTAGCTGTAAATCGGTTATCGAATGTAGTACATTTATGCTCGGTGTCATCTATCGCAGCCCACTCTGCTTAGCTGACGACTTTAATTTAGAGCACATTCATCTTTGGAGTGAAAATACCTGATATTAATTGAACTGAGATGACTACGGAAGGATCTATAAAATCCTTTGATAGTAGGATCCTGGTAACAATAATGGAGCATACACTAGTGCAGCATGTATCCAAACCCACACGTTTTGGTGCTAACCAAGGTTCTTCTCTGTTGGACTTGGTAATCACCCATGATATTGAGGATATTGTTGACCCATATATTTTCCCGCCGTTAGAGAACAGCGATCACGTTGTTATCTGATTCATATTTAGAACTAGGGACATGTTATATGATCAGGTTACACCCCGCCTAAATATATGGAAAGCTAACATATCAGCCATTCAGGAATGCGCTGCTAAGACAGATTGGTTTGTAGATACTAGCTCATCAGTTGAAGAAGCATGGTCTGTTTCAAACTTTAGTTTAGTTACGTCCCCGTTCATACCATATCTGGTACTGCGAAGACCGAATAACAGTCCACCATGGATAACTAAAATAGTCAGGAAACTTCTTAGAAAAAGGAAGAAGCACTGGAATGTGTTCATCTCTACTGGCTTAGAACAATATAGATCCAGTTATTGTAAGATTAGGAATGCTTGCAAAGCGTTAATAAGTAAGACTAGACGATCATATGAAAAACAATTGGTTAGAGATTCTAAATATAGTCCGAAACGGTTATTCTCGTATTTAAAAAGGCGAACTTAGAGAAGCGATGGAATCCCATCACTTTTGATACAAGAAAATCCGTCAATCTTGGCAAAAGGTGATACCGAAAAAGCTGAAGCTTTATCGGGATATTTCAGTAAAGTGTTTTTTATCAGTAATGAGGAACGACCAAAGATTAATTGTGATCGCGGCGGCTCGCTGATGGACTCTATAGTCATTGAGAAAGGTGCTGTTTTAACGCTACTTCAGCATCTCAAACCTGATAAGTCCAGTAGTCCTGATGATACTCATCCTAGGATTATGAAAGCCATGGCAGATGTAATTGCTGAACCATTAGCAATACTGTTTGACATGTCTCTGAGGCAGTCCAGACTGCCCAGAGACTGGGAAGACGCTATAATAAGCCCGGTGTATAAGGCTGGGAGTAGGGATTTAGGTAGTAACTATAGACCTGTTAGCTTAACTAGCGCAGTTGTAAAACTGACCGAAAAAAACATTCAGATATGTTATAAACTATGTTGAAGGACATAATCTTTTCTCCAGGGAACAACATGGTTTTCGGAGAGGCCTATCTTGCTTGACAAATCTTCTCATTGCAAGAGAAGATTGGGCTGCTGCAAAAGATCGGAATATTCCTGTGAATGTGATCTTCATAGATCTAAGTAAGGCCTTCGATAAGGTCTCGCACTCTGGTCTTAAATTCAAACTGGAACGTTTTGGAATCCATTATACAGTCGTAGATTGGATAAGTAACTTTCTCCATGACAGGAGACAAAGGGTAACGGTAAATGGGGCTCTCTCCCCGTGGGTACCTGTAAAAAGTGGAGTTCCTCAAGGTACAATCCTCGGTACTCTTTTTTTACTTTATGTAAACGAATTACCAACTATAGGAAAATCGTCCGTTCTACTCTTCGCTGATGACATAAAAATTTGGAGACCCATACACAGTATGTCGGATAGGATAGTATTACAGAATGATCTTAGCTCATTGGTGGCATGGTTGGACAGGTGGTCGCTAAAAGTAAATCCTAATAAGTTTGGTGATGCAATTAAATAACTATGATGAATCGTATCACTATAAAATATGTGAATTCGTGCTACCCAAAGTAAGAAACTATGAAGATTTAGAAGTCATATTAAGCAGTGATCTCAAAACCACTAGTCACTGTAAGACTGCTGCTGCGAAAGGCTATAGGGTATTATGGTTTATTCGTGGGTCTTTCGAGTATTTAGATGATGAAATGTTTAGATTATTATACCCAGTTTATGTGCGACCACATTTAGAATATGGGATTCAAGCAGAGAGTCCTTGTGTCAAGTATGAAGCAGAGATGCTGGAAAGAGTCCAACGACGAGGTACCAAGATGGTACAAGGTCTATCTAGCCTGTCTTATGAAGACAGACTGAGACAACTCAAATTATTTCCGTTATCTTACCGTAGAGTACGGGGTGATCTAATATTTGCTTATCGTATACTGAACGATGACCTCGGTATTAACATGTCTTATCATTTACTTCCGTTTAGGACTGATCATTTAAGAGGACATTCGAAGAAAGTTCAAAAACCTAGATCAAATCGTTTACGTCTGGAGTTTCGTTTCTCTCACTGAGTAGTGAATTACTGGAATTATCTACAGGAACACGTAATATCAGCACCCTCTGTTAATATATTCAAAACGAGATTGGACCTACACAGTATTACAAACTGCAAAGATTAATATAGGTTGATAGACCTAACCTTATTACTGAACGCTGAAGACTGACTACCTCAATAGTATCATGCAGAATGAGATTTTCCTTATTAACAAGAAAGACTTCAAGTACTATAATCATGGAAATTCAATTCAAAGCCACAAAACCATGCGGTGTGTAGTTCGGTGCTTGATATTTACTTTGAGTAGAACCAAACTTTTACCAATAGTTAACACGTGAATTATAGAAACATTAGAAATCTAAAGGTGATTAAACTCACAGGTCCCAAGCTAATGGCTGATCTATAGTAAGGAGGAGGAGAATCAGTATGTTTGGGGAGACGATTAACGGACAACATATACCTGGGCTGAGAGCCATAATTCCTGATACTATTCCCCTGAACCTAAAATTATCTTAAAACACTAAAACTCCTTACCGATAACTTGAAATCAGATTGTTTACTCATGTCGTCCATTATAGCATTTATAATAAATGCATTAAGCAAGGTGTTTCCAGAGGAATAAAAATCCCATAACTCTGCATTTATATGTGACAAAAGACAAGAATGTAATCCAGCTAAGATTAAATAAGCCAAAAAATTGAATGTCTTCAAATTACAACGAAATCGTAAATACTGTATGGTTGCTTTGTGTTATTAATGACAATTTTTCAAAGTAGCATCAATCTGTTTATCATATTTGTATCTCAGTAATTTAGGTAACAAAATGTGAGTGGTCATAAAACTAAACATTCCGCCTTCGACAACCTTCAAAGCACCATAGGAACAGTAAAATTTTGGGATAGCAATGAATAAAATTCTGAAACTAACCGAAGGAGTACAAACCAGATGATTAGTATCTCGAAGTTTGACATAATCTGTAATATGCAGTTTATATGTTTCAATTTCACCAATGATCATGTTGAAAGTAGACCCATTCATTATTAGCTTATTTATCACATTCAAAAAGGACTAACGGAAAGGTTAATACGACTTCACTAGCAGTATCACCGAAACTAAAGCGTTCTAAATATATCTTCAGACTCCTTTTGCTGACTTTTAGTTTGACTGGGTGTCGCATGTTCCATTACATAGGTGTTACGGACAACAGCGTTGTCAAGTCCATGCTGCGATAAATAAATAGTTCTGCATGTCTTCGGCATTGATGCTGACCACGTTAGTTTTGCTGAAAACACCTAGCTTAAGGTGCTTGGTCACACGTCCTCGCCAGATCAATAGTGGGTACTCCATACTAAGCATCTCTTACAACTGTTCACCAGCTTTGATCAAACGCTTCCCGATATATCTATGGCTTTCCAAATATATTTTCAAACCTCTTCGTTTCTGACTTCTAATAAAGGTGTTGCGTGTGAAGTTGTTGTCAAAATCTGAATACTTGCGGTAAATTTGAGAGTAATAATCAATGCTGATATTGACACTATATTTGATTTAAATCATCACTATCATTACTATTATTATTATTATTATTCGCATGCAACTGTAAATCACCAACGGAGAACACTGATGTCGAATGGTTGTGAGCCTACTCGAGTCAGGCGGGATTGGTGTAACCAACAGTTCACAATCAGCACATTACTTGGATTACCCATTCGTCGTATAGAGGTACTAAGTCTGCTTTGAAGACATCACGAGAATATATTAGTAAGAATGGGTGTGGAGAATATATTGAGATCGCCACCGCACGGGACGGTCCACGTCATACGATTAACCGATGAGCGTTGGTCGTCCGTAACATTGAGGGGGATCGATAAACTGCGACCTAACTTCCGGATGATTTGGCTAGAGCTCAGTGACATTTCACTGGTTCGACACAACTTACTGGTACATGAGCGTTCTTACGAAACCATTCTGGGTTTTCGTATAAACTTAATTATGCAGTAGGATGCAGTATGATTTAATTGGAGAATAAAAGTTTATGCAGTAATAGTCCAGTATGATTCGGTGAAAGTCCTAAGTAGTTGAACAGAATAATCGTGGAATATCAATTTTCATGGATCATATATACGGGGTGTAGAGAGAGTGAATCTGGACATTCAAGTTAATTACAATACAAGGTGTTCTTATTCGTAAACTTTGGATTGCCATGTATAAAATTTCTGTAGAAGAAAGTGAGAAAAATCGAGAAGTTATGGGGAAAATAAAATCTTATGTGCCAGGGCATCAATCATGATAATAATATGAGTATAAACATAAGCAAACTTTGTATACGTTTTTGAAGAAATCAAGAGGTTAATTTGAAAGTCGGTCAACGACTTCACCGGTGTTCTGTACGTACGCTGGTGATTTGTTACGTGCTCACTGCACGCTGATTGAAACTTGTAAGAGAAGAGGAGGTGAGTGCTACTTAACACCATGTTGATGAGATACGATTTTCCATGTTCTGCCCGGCTATCAGGTGCTCAAACAAGTGAGTCGCCGTCAAGTAAGAAATAACGAAGTATCTACTTCAAAAGCAATGATGAAAATCAGTCAATCCTGAAGAACTGCTCCACTGCCTGTATAAAATAACAAGGTTTAAAAGGGAAATACACAAATACAATTGATAATTTTCCGGTTTCAGGTAAATGTTTGCCTTCCAGAACGGATTTGCCATCAGGAAGGAACAAGACACGGTGTAGACATCTTGTGCACGAATCGTATTAAAAGGAAAAATGTGTATGTGTGAAGTTATCAGAGGTCCGACTCCTCACCAATCTTGATCAAATATATGACCTTGAGTCTATGATGACCGCTTTTTATAACCGGGTTCATAGCCACGGCTGAACAAGAGTACTTCCGGTCCAAAAGAGCAGAATATACAGTTAGGGAGAAAAAGAAAATCACAGAAATTACGAGGATTGAATGGATTTTTTGATGTCGGCTACATAATCGGAGTCCTACAGACAAACCATTTGATGGCTTGATGTAGGTATGCATGCTATATCGATGCTATATTTCCTCAAGTCACCTTGGTAACGAGTTTGAAGATGCCATAAGTACCCGCAGTGGGACAACATCTTAACCAGTTACACCTTCTATAATCGAAACGTGCCAACCCAATGAAGTCAGAAGTCAGAAACAAAGATGTTCGAAGATGTATTTCAGTTTTCAATGATAAGGTTTGTAGTTTGGTGGACCTGTGTTAATCTTGACGGTTTGCCTTCCAATTAAGGTCCACTTTCTCCTTGAAAATGTCTACTGAATCGGCTGATGCCACTTGTTCGGGTAAGGCCTTCAAGTCATTGACGATGAGATGAAAAAAAGGTACACCACATTAAGTTTATTAGAACGTAGTTTGTGAGTGTTCTTGCTATGACCTCGGAGATTATTAGTGCTAGAGGGAGCAAAAAGATGAAACATATTAACACCGAAATCGCGGTTAATGATGCGAATTCTCAGTGTAAGGTCACCTCGTGTCCTACGATACGACAAGTTGATATGCTATCCATATATCGGGAAGCGACCGATCTAATCTGACTCGCTATTGTTGGGGAAGTTGGGCACAGCGTACCCACTCGTGATCTGGTGCGTATGCCTAACCGAGCCCCTTCAGCTAGATGAGTCCGTTAAAACTAATGTGGTCGGAATCGAATGTCGAAGACTTACGAAGCTATTGCTTTTGCGGATTTATTTACCGCTACAGACCACTCCCCCTTCTAGCGGGATAGTGATGGCCCTAAGATGTGAGCAGACAGACGTTTAAACTCAATGAGTTTGTCGTTGGTAAACACTCTCCTGATGGGTTGCAATGTTCAGCAGCGTCTGGTCTTCTTTTTTTACTATAAAAAGACATGGGGTACAATGGAGTAATGAAGAAACAGTTACGATGAAAATTTCGATTCATCGTAAAACTCGTCACTTTTTACGCCTCTTCCAGCCGTCCTGGAAAAGGAATAGAATGAATATCTACATGTGTAAAATTGTGTTCTACGTCGTTTCTGGTACTATTATGATAATAGACCTAATCTTAAATTTGCAGGTATGTCGTGATTTGACTACCTCATCTAGAAGACTGCACATGGAAGTCAAATTATTGTCTATTCTGACTCATCTTACCATAAGAATAAGCTATATAACGGCTGTCGCTTATAAAGAACACATTTTGGCCAAAGACAGAATAATATATTCAATGTCAGTAAAGACAAGCTATACAGAACGAACACATCCGCGAGGCTGAGCCACTCCATCCGACTGAATTGAAATAATTTTTTTCGCCCTCTCCACCGCTGACCTTCTCTTTATGTCAGTTGCTGAATATAAGTCTTTGCAGTAATTATATGCTCGGCTTCAAAGTTCGTGTGGTTTGGGTACAATGCCACTACAATACTCTCCCGCCAGAATCAAAGTGACATTGTTTGGACACCAAGTTGTATAGGTCTGTCGCGCGCCGGAGGTTACCGAGAACAATAAGAATCCCCCGGTATTGACAAGCAGAAAGAAAAATCAAAAAGAAGGCGGCAGTAATTGATGGGGAAATTTCAAATGCTTGGTTTAATTCTTAACACTCGCAAAACGAAAATCTAAGTGAAGATTATTCAGGAGTTAAAAAACAGATTACGATATTCAGGTACGATTTCGTGTAGAGATATTTTAATAAGTCGCAGTAAGATGCGTAGCAATAGCCAATAGTTAATGGCTTAATTTATATGTAGTACACATAAGTTGTTCTTAGAAATTCAAAAATAATCAATATTGTGGAAGTTTTGCTAGTGGCATTATTTTCATTGGAAATTATAAAGTTAGTTTACGTTTGTTTTGGCATGTTGTGCCTATGAGTTGAATTCTACCTACATCTGCATTAGTAGGCTAACTGAAAGAACAAAAGTATTACCATGGAGAGGAAGAATTCCAACTAGTGTTGCAGTTAGTTTGTCAAGTTTAATACAGTTTATTTAGTCGCAGGGAGATTTTTCTTGACCTCATTATTATTTGACCGTGATATGATTTAATAAAACTGCTAATACATATGAATGGTCATCAAAAATTCTTTAACTCAAAAATGTTGATAATTGTGTGTATTTCGGCAGATAACTAAGAACAATTCGTTGAACATGAATGTATTCGTGAGAGACATGTTCTGGACTCAGTGTTCTGACTTACGATGGTGTATACAAGTTAGTTACAAGTATCGAGTTCCGCTTAAGGCAGAAAACGACTTATTTGGAATAGAGTGATTATAAGCCGTTGAAATCGGAGATGCCACAGGTATTCGGAGTTCGACAACGCTTTAACCACTAACAACTAATATGAATCATACCCACCAAGTGAAATCAAAAGACAGAAGTGAGGAGGTTCGAAGATATATTTGACAGACTATCAATATATCCAGGATCGTCTGATCTAATCCGGCTAGCGATTGCGAGGGTCGTTAAGCACGGCGTTCCCACCTGTGATCTGGTGAGGATGCATGACCGAGCGCCCTTAGCTAGGTGAGTCCACTTAAACTTGTGTGGTCAGCGTCCATTATCGAAAACTCACAGAGCTATTTATATTGGGGATTTATTTACCGCTACAATATTAACACAACAAATGTGCCATAAATGTTTGACATGATGCCGTGCGACACTTCAGGCTAAATAAATCTCTACAAGCTGATAGTCAATGAGTGGTGACTATGTGATTATCAGGAAGAACATAAGTTGTAGCCAAGGGGACTACAACTCCCGACTCACTTCTATGATAATCGTTTGATCCTTGGTCAGTATTGATGCAAATTTGACAGTGTTTATAGTTTTCAGGTGATTTGCTCTACTGTTTATACTGGTGATTTACATCCGTCGTTTTATCGCTAAACCTCCAACCAGACTGACAAGGTTTTAAGGTATTTGCCAAATGAGCAACAAGCTAAAATCTTCTGTAATGGATAAAGATAACGAGGAAACAACACTACTTTATGATAATTAAAAGCAAATTTGTTGTCTGATTTTGTCAATAGTTTCATCAACTTTATCAATCATATTGTGTGATTATCAAGTCATGACAATTCTTCATGACGAAGTCCAGAAACCATTATATTTAACGAGTTGTGGAGTTGATTGGGAATTAGCAAGTGGATAATATATATTGCTGTCTTAGGTGATCTTGAAATAGCAGAAGTTTGTAGCGTTACCGCATCCGAGGTGCGTGATTACATTAAAAAGTGCAATTCAAAATTATCCATCTACATATTGTTAATTTTAAGAGTAGGCTCAGGATTTTTTATTTCAAATGCTTTTTTAGTCGACAACTGCCGGGTTGGTTATTTATTATTGAAGATGGCACAGGTATACAGTGTTTGATAACGCTTTTACCAGTAACACCTAATATAACTCGTGCCCACCAAAAGAAATCAAAAGACAGAATCGAGGAGATCAGAAGTTGTATTTGACGATCGTCTGATCTAGTCTGGCTAACGATTGCATTAGGTGTTGAGCACGGCGTTCCCACACGTGATCTGATGCTGATGCATGGCCGAGCGCCTTCAGCTAGGTGGGTCCATAAAAACATGTGGTCAGCATCCAATGTCGAAAACTTACAGAACTGTTTATTTTGGGGAATTATTTACCGCTACATTATACTGGTGTAATAGTGCAGTAGTGAGGTAATCTTATTATCTGAACCATGTTACAAGTATTCTTAAGACAACTAAAGTGATATCCTAGTTCCTAAATGCAAATACACATAGCAATAACGACTATAATGGATTTAGTTGAATATGTTGAGGACAGTTCAAATAATTGCTAAATTCAAATAGGATAGAGTTATGATACAATGCATGTATAAGTTAGGTTAACGAGCGCATTTATATGAAATACAAAATAAGAAAAATAAACTTGGCGAAAATTTCTTTTAAAGTTGAGACATAAGGAATTACAGTTAAAAGACGGGTATAATATAGAATTTCATAAATGGTCGCTGTAGCTATCCTTGTAAATTCATGAATATGTAGCAACGATGGTTAGAACTAAAAAGTATCAAATTAAAGTTCAGTCTAATGCAGTTCTTCTGAAAACGACACACTCATAATGGTATGTCATTTAAAGTTATGAAATATATCTATCGAAAACAGTTTGGGAAGTGGTTCGTATAAAATATATATGGCTAGTCCAAGTGGAAATGTATATATGTTAATAAGTACCGAATAACATGTCAAACCCTCCTGGACTAGTTTTGGGATTTAGATTATTCATTAGATTTGACATATATAAATGAAGGAGCCCAGATAATTATATGGCCGTCACTGTATGAACCATCTAAAATGACCATATTATTGCAGAAAATTTATTGTTTAAACTCACCGTATGTTTCTGGATTATTGTCTTCGTTGTTTAGCAATGGAACGTGTGTACTGTATGATAAGACAGGTTTAACGAAAACACCAGTTGATTGGGGTCGAGTGGAAACAAGTTTACCTGAATGCATGGCATTTGTAAATCTGCAATTGTAAGGGTTTAGATCCGTATTCGTTGAAAAGGTGAAGGATCCACGAATTTCCCCTGGATGTCTGAGTTTCGTTCCGTAAACAAATCGTACCGTAATGTATCCAACGTCAATTTTCATTGCATTGCAAACACCCAGTGACACGAGTGAGAGAGCGTCGGTCTACTGTAAAACGTTTGCAGTTAAGAGTAAATCATTTAACTGACAGTGAAATCATACCACCAACTTGTTAGCTTGTAAGTTGCAGGCGATCGTTCGGAATCGTGTGATTCCTAATAGTGTAGTAAGACAACGGAAAAATCCAGACTCGAAATGAGGATTTATTTACCGCTACAGGCGTCACCTCTGGGCATAGTTGAAAAGCTCAGATTTCTGAAACTTCCTACCCAAAGACTCCAAAACCAACATAGCCAGAAGTCAAAGATGGTTAGATGTGAACGTGTGCATGGGTAAAAAATCGATGCTATGTATGGAATTTAGGCTGACTAGTTGTCGCAAGAGACTCACAGCACGGCGTGCGCAAACGTGGTCTGGTGTAGATGTTTGAACAAGCACCTCCAGCTACGGGTGTGTTCAATGAGATTAACAATGTCAATATCAATGTCGAAAACCTACAAATTCATTTGTTTTCGGAATTTACTTACTACTGAGGAGGAATGTATCAAAAACCATACCTCTCTGTAACTAAAATCAAGAAGGAAACAGTTCCCTTATTCTGTCTGGAAAAGTTGAAGTCAAAGTCAGCATCAATGTCGAATGCTTGTAAGGCTATATATTGAAGGTAGTTATATGTTACTTTGGGTCATCTATTCTACTTTTGCTTTTGAAAACGATAATCGCGATGCAAGTATTCAATATACAAAGCCATAGGTAGGCAGAATTGAGAATAAGGTGAGGGAGAGTAATCCTGTTTACAAGCAACCCATATGGTGTTCGAAGAAACTAACGTTGGTCGGATATTCTGACAACATTAGTGTGTTAATTTGAAGTCATCAGGTTTAAAAATTTACATACTTTCCGGCATCATGTATGATGTAAGGTCCATAAATTTATTTATATACTACCTTTTCTTATAGGGAGTGTAGTAGTTTTGTTTGTTTCGACTGTGCTCAGTGCACATCTGATATCCTCCTGTTGCCTTGTCGGCTTTGGCGGGCAAGGGGTTTGTCTTTCATTGATAGTTCTTAAGAATGGTATGCCGCTAGTTAGTTTGATTTGGTGACTATAATTAATTTGTAACACGACGTCGTTTGTGCGCCAAGAATTATAGACATAATGTAACCAGGTTTCACAACTGTTTAGTCAAACTTAAGTAATAGTTTATGGATAGTCTTCCTAGAGTTTGTACCCTGGGCATACTTCAGTTCACGTCTGAACGGAAAGCTAGAGGTACCAATGTTACAAGTTAACAAAAGGTCGTCTTAACCGAAAGAATAAAGACAAGAATCTAGTTACCTTTGTATTTTAAGTCAATGCTTCTACCTGAACTTTCTCGTACAAAATAAGTAATAGTTTATATGGTTGTAGGTATCATTACCAAGGTTTGAATTGGTAATTTCGAATAAATTGAGCGTTGAGTAGATTGTTATAAATGCATAATATGTTTGTAGTATCCCAATGAGTAGAAAAATTAGATTTTCTGGCGTTTCGTGACTTAGTGTAAACCACTTCAGAGGATGAATAACCAAACTAAAAGTAATCCAAGTTTGTTTCATGTGTTTATTTTTTCTACCAAGTAAATAACTGGTAGTAGTCCTCACTTTTACTCAAGTTGTATTCAGTTTATAAACATGTTTTCGAGAATCAGTTACCTATTTGTTTAGTAAAAGCAATTTAATACAAACTAGTCATATCCTAGCGATATACTATTTTTCCGTTTGCTTATCCTCTGCAGTATACTGACTTATCCTCGTAATTTATTAGCTGATACGTGATACTGTGCTTAATAGTATTTTGCTGAACTAAACTTAGATCACCATGTTACATACTGTCATCTAGATAACCGGGTATATATAGTCAGTTATATGTGCTAATAATGTTAATTTTTTGTGTTTTATGGGCTTCTGGTCATTGTATTATTACTTTTATTACGTGCTTAGTTTCAAAGTATTCGAATCAGGTTTTAGTGACCAACTTGTCTTAAATCAAAGTTTTCAGTTCGACAAAAGTGCGCGCTACCATCTCAACAGTGATGTGCTTGCTTGGTGTTGCTTCTGGTTTGTTAGGAAGTAGAAGTACTCACTTTGTTCTGCGAGATCAAGATTGACACAGTCGAAGTCCGCTTTGGGAATCAAAAACAGATTTTTGATAATTTACGCACGGATGAAAACACTTCACGTTTTTATTCACTCTAAACCAGCGAAATCGTTGAGAGATAAGCTCATTGGTTGCTCAAACACTTATTGTTATCTGTCAACTCATTTACTCAGTTTGGATTCGTGTACTTAGCTACGAGCCACACTGTGAGGCCTAGTGAATGTCCAGTTGTCCAAACCAAGATAGGGGCAACGGGATCCGAACACCTGGATATTACAAGTAGTGCAACATATTCAAGACGTGACGGTATTAGTTCGGGATAGTTAAACAATCTTTATTTCTGAATGAATTAGTAGCAAATTGTCCTCACCTGTTCTTATTTAAGCTGGGTCTTCGGAGTTATCAGTGACAACTTATGATGGACATCGTAGTCCTTTCATTAAAGTTAATGTAGTTCAACAAGGTTAACCCCTTAAAAGCGGTTCGAAAACTTATCTGTGGCAAGGCACCTAGAGTACATGTTCAGATTCTGACCATGCTCTAATACCAGCACGCATTTGCCTGCGCCTCACTGGACGCAGAAAAACCATATTAGGGTGACCCATTAGAGTTGAATCCAATGACGAGAAAGCAAAAAGTAGATTCCAGGAACAACTGAGGTCCCACTTAGGTAGTTCTGAAATCAAGGCTGACCCAGATGTTTATTGGAAAGACATAAAATCAGCTATGGAAAGTAGTGACATTTATTAGTGATTTAAACCAAAGGGTCACGAAAAACCAGTTGATTTTTAATAAGTCTATTGCACTGATAGGTTCTCGTAAATTTATCCCAACACTATAAAGAACGGAAACAAATTAGATCTAGGTTAACCAAAAGTCTAAGGAACGACCGTAAGCAGTGGTGGGAAATGAAAGCAAGATATAGAAAAGGCAGCGGCTGTAGGTAACACCAGACAGCTTTTCAGACTAATAAAAGAAACTAGAATTAAAAAATGAAGTGTGGGACGATCTCGGAAAAAGACGACACTCTTATCTGCTCTCAGCCCAGATGTTTAGAACGATGGGTGGAACACTAAGGAGCAATTCAGCTACTCTACAACTACCCACCATTCCCAAACAGCCTGGATGGAGCATTGAATTGTTCCTCCGACTCTAGTTGAAGTCCAAAGAGCTAAAGCTAATCTGAAACGAGGAAGAGCAGCTGGTGCAAGTGGATTGGTTTCAGAGGTCTTTAAGTATGGTGGCCCATTTTTAGCTATTAGGTTGACTAATATTTTAGCTAAAATCTGGAAGTTGGACGTGATCCCATCTGATTAGTCGCAATCACCGATTGTCCCAATATATAAAAAGGGGTCAAAATCATCCTGCGATAACCATAAAGGGATTAGTTTGACTAATATAGCATCTAAAATGATAGGCTCAATAATTATCGGGCCCCTAAGACTCATGAACTGCAAACAAGAAAATCAGACTGGTTTCAGACCTAATCGTGGCTGCATCGACCAAATATTTACCGCTCGTCAGGTTTTAGAACACAGGCATGCTTATTGTCGTCCGACAATGATAGTTTCTTTTGACTCTAGACCGAGAGGTTCTGTGGCAGTCTGTCATTGAAAGGTGTACTACAGAAGTACATAAACCTTGTGAAGGCTCTTTACTCGAGTCAGAGCTTATGGAGAACTGTCATCTGGTTTTGCAACCTCAAGGGGGTTTACGATTTGTGGAAATTGTGCGTTCCTGGCCTTCAGATGCCGCTTACTACACCACACAGCTAAGAGTTCTACGCCTCGATTCAGTATCTCGCAACACTCCAGAGAAGAATCCAGATTATATATCCATTGTTGTAAGATCACCGATTGTCGAGTCGGATGTGTCTGCATATATTCTTATAATTGCTTGGATATCATGGCAGGCAGGCATAGTTGACTTGGCGATTTTTTTAACATAGATGAATGCTTTCCTTGTACTGCTATATAGTTTGATTGTTCTTGACTCTCAAAATTGGTTTGTTAATAAGCTCATAAAAGACGCGGTTGGGTATAAATCTACGTTAGAGATCTGCCAATATGTTGAATGTTTACAATTCAATGATAGTCGTCGGTTATGGGTAATCCAGAATAGATCCTTTTTTTCCAACAAGCAAATGCCTTTATTGTCAGTGGTATACTAGGAAAATCTAATGAAGTGTACCGAATTTGGCAACTCTGAATGTTTACAGTGATGCCCTGGTGTTATAATCGTTGAAAAACAGGGTTTAGATGTAGATGGGATTGTCTGTGCTTCCTATCAGATAGTCAGCAGTATATAGATATGCAAAGTCATGAACGATAAGCACACATAAAATTGCAATTTTAAAACATTTTATTTGTAGAAATCACTGCGTATGGGAATGCATTAGAGCATAAATTTATTTCATTCCATAATGTTCGTTATTCTTGCCTTACAAAATAAAAATATGTTTGAACAACATATTTCCAACAGAATAACCACCACCAAAAAATTAGTGATTATTTAAAATTCATCGAATAACTTTTTTGGAATACGTATAACGTATCTTTAATCAACTATACGCAACGTTAGACGATGTGAAAGTATGTAAGTCAGAAGAGAACCGGAGGGAGCATTAATCCGAGACGTCAATAAATGTTGAAGTGAGCCGTATGTGTAGGTTCAGACTACCAGTTTGGGGACCTTGCGATTACCGTAACCATTGGTTGGCGATATTGTTCAGAATAGGTCACAAAAAGACATTCACATTTTGTCTGCATCTAAATCTTGAGCGAAGTAACAAATCATTTCATGCATTTGGTCCCCTCTACGAATTTGAATGAAGCCAAAATAACACGAGGCGGAGTAATATGAATAAATTATATTTCTTGGTTTCTCAACAGCTGCTTACAACCATGTAGATATTAAAATGTAACAGTGAGGTCACATGTAATGTGAAGTAATTGAAATGGATGACGGAAAGAATTATGATAACAAGTGTTATCAATAGTAACTATACATATATCTGTGTAAAACAGCCATGAGATCATTTGCAGATTGAATTCAGAAATATAGGAGGGGTGTGAGGCAGTAATTAAATGTAGTTAGGAAACATAACAGAGATTTACGTAAGATTCAAGCCGTTTGAAAAAAGATTTGGAGCAATGAGGTTATAATTATCTGGAATTAGAAATTGAAGGGTCACGTAATAATTAAACAAGATTTGGAAAGTTGGCGTAGCAGGTCATTGAAGATGGATAAGTACTCATATATCAGCCGAAGTCATCTGGATATTTTTTGATTACTGTCACTCGAAGTAAGTTTATGGGTGCTTCTTTTACTTTTGACGAGTGGTTTAAAGTGTCGCTATTGCGATATTTACGTCGAACTATCAAGTATTTTTCATGTAACCCACGTTGAATAGTGTTCTGTTTGACTCGACATTTCTAGGTCTTGTTTTAACATTATTTGAGATCCGAAGTCAACCATCTCCATTGTCAGTCAGTCTATTTTCAGTACGTATATCCTTATGTAGAAATTCCTGTTAGCTAGTGAACCTTTTTTATATTGTATTGTCCTTACAGAATAACGAAACATCAGAGCTGGAAAATAAACCTGAGAACAAAAACATGTGCAAACGTGGTTGTGGCTTCTATGGAAGTGTTCGATTCAAAGATATGTGTTCCAAATGTTATCAGGAGCATATTAAATGTAGTTCTACCTTGGAGCAAGCTACACTTGTTCATTCCACTTCAATTGATATACCAGATAATCGAAAGTCACAGCTCTTAGATTGCTGTGAACACTCTCCCAAAGATTCCACTTCAAATCAGTCAGATCCTACAACATCTTCCCAATTATCTCGTGCGCTTAAACGAAAGGCAAATCCCTCAGTCTCTGCAGAAACTTCCAAAGGTATGGTATTTAAAATATGCTATGGTCCGATCACTTGTTTTCTTACTTTGTTCAGGTGTGACTTAGACTCGATGACAGCCGCGTTGATGCACTCGATCTTTGTCTTCTATATCATGATTTTCGAAACTACTTCATACTTTTTCTGCGAATCCTTCTTTAATCATCCTTTGTCTGATATTTTGTCACTGTACAAGACTGCCGCTCCTTTTGGAGTACCTATCTGGACTCTGACCATGCCTTGGTCTGCGCCAATCTTACCTTACTTTTCAGTGGACAACGAAGTGACCGCCACCAACGGATTGATGTTGGCAAACTGGTTGCAACTTCTGTTGCTAGTGAGTATCGAATCGAGCTAGTTTCTAGGCTAGCTACCATTCCACCGAAAAGTATAGATGTGCATTGGTTGCAATGCACATGACGCCATGAAAATGGCGGGTACAGTCAGTTGTGGGTTCGCGAAACGTCCCGCTTATAAGCACTGGGTTTCTTCTGGTTCCTTACAACTCATTGAAGCCCGTCGGTCTACTCCGGGTGACCGTGAGTTTGACCATAAACGAAGGATGTTGCGTAAGGAAATTGGGCAAAGCTTGTGTAAGGACCGAGAAGCCTGGTGGTCGAAGCGTGCTAATGAGCTGGAAGCAGTAGCTGCATCTGGTAACTACTGGAAGCTCTTCCAACTCATCCGAGTCACTGGTAGCAAGAAGTCTGGTGTGAGCGAAACAATCTATGAGGTTGATGGGATGCCGATCACTAACATCCATCGACGTCTTGGACGATGGGCAGAATTTTTCGAAGGGCAGTTCAACTGGCCTGCTACTCCGGCAACGTCGGTCAGACTGTCCTGCCCTCCATGGCCAGTGACGACTGATGCATCAAATGAGACGGAAGTCCGCAAGGAACTCCAACTCTTGAAGCGTTACAAATCACCTGGCCCAGATGACTTACCTCCGGCTCTTTTTAAAGATGGTGGTGACTTTTTGACTAAGGAATTGACGACGTTGTTTACAAAGGTTTGGGAACTAGAGAGTGTACCAACGTCATGGAACCAGTCGATAGTTGTCCCTATCTTTAAAAAGGGTTCACGTCGTTCCTGCAACAACTATCGGGGGATAAGTCTACTTCCGATTGCTTCCAAGCTATTGGCTTCCGTCATGCTTCGTAGGTTGTTCAAAACCCGAGAAAGGTTGACTCGCGAGGAGCAGGCTGAGTTTCGTTCTGGTCGAGGATGTATTGATCATATCTTCACCCTTCGCCAAATGTTAGAACACCGCCATACTTATCAAAGGCCAACAATCGTAGTGTTTCTTGACATCAGGGCTGACTTCGATTCGTTGGACAGGACTGTTCTCTGGGTTGTCTATTGAAGAAGGGTGTGCCTGAGAAGTTTATTAACATCCTAAAAGCTCTATATACAAACACCTCAGGCAGAGTGAGGGCATACAACCACCTCTCTCCATTGTTCCATTTGAGCAGTGGGGTTAGGCAGGGTTGCCGAATCTCACCATTCCTCTTCAACTTTGCCATCGATGACATTCTGGAAACAGCTCTGATGAATGTAAGTAATGGTGGTGTGGATCTGTTGCCTGGAGAAAGACTTCTCGACCTTGAGTATGCGGACGATATTGTCTTACTGTGCGATAATCCCCAAGACATGCAATTCGCGCTTAATCAGTTGGCAATCAGTGTCCGTAGGTATGGTATGTGCTTTGCACCTTCGAACTACAAAGTACTTCTACAAGACTGACAGGATTCCAATCCTGTACTCACCCTGGATGGTGAGCAGATAGAAGTAGTCAAGAAGTTCGTGTATCTGGGTAGCTGCATAAGTGCTGGTGGGGGTGTGAGTGATGAGATCAATGCACGTATAGTGAAAGCCAGAGTGGCTTATGCCAATCTGGGCCACCTTTGGCGCCTTCGTGATGTTAGTCTGGCTGTAAAAGGTCGGATCTCCAACGCGTCGGTGAGAGCAGTCCTGCTCTATGCTTGTAGAACCTGGCCTCTCCGAGTTGAGGACTTTAGAAGACTCTCTGTGTTCGATCATCGCTGTCTCAGAAGGATTGCTGACATCCAGTGGCAACATCATGTCAGTAATGCAGAAGTTCGGCATCGTGTGTTCGGGCACAGAGATGATAATTCAATCGGTATCACCATCTTGAAACACCGACTTCGGTGGCTTGGACATGTTCTCCGAATGTCGTCCCAGAGAATTCCACGTCGTGCATTATTTGCCGACTCTGGGACTGGTTGGAAGAAGCGGAGAGATGGTTAGTGCATGACATGGTGTCGTGGCGTGAAAGAAAGCTGCAAAGGACTGGCTTCTGTTGGTCCTTCACGACTCCCTGGTTGGGGTCCGAGAGATGGTGCTACACAGTGGCTAGAGACGTTATCAGATGTGGCTCAGAATAGAAGCCAGTGGCGATCCTGCTGTAACCTTCTTTTACTTTCTTCATAAAAAGTGGTTGTGTCTCCCTTACCTGAAAGATTTCTTCCGATTGTACCTTTCCGTTCCCTCAATACTACCCTACTACCTTACACCAATCTCTTCGTTATTGTTCTCTTTTTTTTACGCTCCTTACCTCTTTATTTTCTTTTCTCCTCGAATTCTCATTGTTTTGTGTGGCGCATATATATTGGCGCTCTCTTGTACCAATAGTTATGCGTTCAAATAAAAAATGAAAATAAATTTTGTCACTGATACTATTAATACTCTGATATTCAACTTGATAAATTCCTTCTTATGTTGATATGTTGTGGCGACTTGAGGCGATGCACGTTTGTGCTGAGTTCTTACATTGCTTGTGATTGGTTGGTCATTTTATTCAAAACCGTCTTCAATTATGTCCCTGCTTTTATTTTGGTATCATTATTGGTATTATAAATTTATAACGTTTACTTTCAATATTATTGTGCTTATATGAATGCAGGTAGCTTGTAGCTTCATAAATATGTGTGATACTGTGCATTGTGTATATTTAATTATCATTCTGTGTTTCCCTACATTGGTTGGTAGAGTCCACACAGTGGTTTAGTGATTGGATCATCCTCGATTGAACCGTTTTGTCACAGTTTTGGTTTGTGCAATCGGATAATATTATCAACCCTCAGTTAAAAGTGTGACCCAAGACCGAATACATTAGTTCGTAATTAGTAAATGGGTTGCGTATTATTTCTACGGTTTTTTTCAAACTAGACGATAGCCGTTCGCCACCGATAAGGTAGTGGTATGTGTATTGTCAGATTGTTTATTGACCACTGACAAGATTTGCCCGCTTTTTGTGATGTAAGTGACTATTTTTTATATTATTTCAGCCGACTCGTCAGCTTCCCGTCCCGTTCTTGGCGTCAATCGTTGCACTTGGTGTCGCAAGCGTGTTGGACTGACAGGTTAGTGAGCATTTTTTACACTGTTAGATAACGTGTAAAGTGAAATGTCCCACCTATTACTAGTTTCAAAACGCCCTCCTACAATTCTAGACAGTTTACGTAACATCCCTCGACTTATCAATTTACTTTATAGATACACGCATATTTCTCACTTTATTCTTCTGCGTTTTGTCTAAAATAGATAGTCTAGTATGGTATGAATTTCGATCGTCTATTAATTCATTCAATAAAGTTGAACTACAGTTTTATTCAGTTGGACAGCTCAGTTTTTCAGTTTCTTTGCATTGACTAGTCAGTCATAGTCATGCATACCACAAATGTGTATCACTCTAACTTGTCAGTAAAGAATAATCGATAGCGAGAAAAGAAGACCTAAGTTGAAAGTCAGTGAGTAAATAGCAAAAGGGTCAAATATGTAGATTGTCATTTCCCGGTTACCAAAACCGTTCGGGAACATTCATTGAATGGGTGAAAGAACGAACAGTGTTAATGTCGGTTTTATCGACCTGGAAACATGATCACAATGCCCAATGTATATCAACAAAGTCGACGTTTCTAACCCCTCCTTCACTCTGGTAAAAAATATCGCTGCGAATACCAGTTATTCGCAGAAAATGCCACCACAGTGGTATTAGCAGTACTTTTTCCTCCTATTGGACCCCCATTAATCTCAACCATAACATCCTCCAGCTGACCTGTAAGATTTTAGTTGACAATTATTTTAGCTTCGTAAGGTCAATTGGATTAGCGCATTAGAATGACTTGACTCCTTCATCTGAATAGTAGCTACAGTTATGTGATTATTGATACTCATCAAGACCATTATTCAATTATGTAACTTAAAGACAGTTGGTATCTAAAGAACCGTATGTTTATTTGGATTCAAAACATTTTTGCAATAAATGCATGTGAGCCAAAACACCCAGGCCTTCCTGAGGACTTCTTTCTATTCGTTTGATTTTAAATTTGTAGGCACTCTCCGAAGTATTTATTGGTTAATTTATACATACAGTTAGGAGTTATCGCGTCTTTCTTGATTTGTTTTGGGCTGATTTAGGTTTCGCTTGCCGCTGCGATGGACTGTTCTGCTCATTACATCGATATTCCGATCAGCACGAGTGTGCTTATGATTATCAAGCAAATGGTCGTCTTGAACTAGCTCGCGCCAATCCAGAAGTACGTTGTCCCAAAATTCGAAAACTGTGAGATCACGGACAGGATTCCGGATCTTCTAAACCTTTGATATATTCCTCTCATTTTCATTACGCCTTTCACGACAAAATCAACATTAAGACGATATCAGCTCCTACTACAACACAACTTGTTTTCTTTTTTCATATTTATTCAATGCCTTTGATTTTGATTTTCTTCGCACACCGATGGTCTTTACAAAGTTTATCATAAATCTTTTTGTGAATATTAATACACTAACAAATCATATTTGTCAATCAATTCTAATCCACCTCTATGGCATTTGTTGCTTCATCTTTTATTGTGATTATATTATTACCATCTACTCCTACCTATGGGATTTTTCTCACGTTGGGATTCCAACGTATTTTCATTTTATGGAACATGTTGCATTATAGATTTTCCAAAACCACGCCTCTTTAGACCAACACAACTATATATTGTATATCATGATTATCGGCGTAAAAGTGTGAAGTAAAAAGGAATCCTCTATTCTTATCCAAATAATATTTGTTGCTTTTATTCTCGAGTGCATACATGCTTACGCGAGAATTCTGTAAGTTCTACATCAGCAGTGTTTATTATCAAGACATAATTTTGGTTGGTTATGTCTAAAGTGTAGACTGAGTAGTAGTAATCTTTAACATTAATTTTTTGGTTTGCAAAAGTACTTGTCTTATCATAACATCAAAATGACTTATACGTTATATACATTTATAAATATTGATTAAAAACGGGGTTTCTCATACATACGACGAGGCCCTTTTTAGTTCGTATTTCATTCATATAACTTGTACAATATATGTGTGGACAAGTGTCAACAAAGAATTTTTCAACCTCATGACATCCAAGCGGTGTTTGTGTCTATATATTGTGTATGCGTGTGCTATATAAGCTTGTTGATGTAATGGTCACGAATAGTGATTGATTTAGTTGGAGTAATTTAATTTTCCCTTTTTTGTTCTTTCATTACCTCTATACACATATTTGTATCCAGTTTTATTGTATTTATCTTTCTATTGTATCATTATTATTACTATTATTCTTAGTTGCTGGGTTCAAGACCCATGTGTAACTGTATGTTTACAGGATTTCAGTACCATTACCTATAATTTCTTATTTTTATTTCTCTTATTGTTCTGTTTTGTCAGTCAGTCATCAACATAGAACCTAGTAAAAATGTGCGTTGGTGTAAATTAACATACTTCATTAGCACGACGAAATGAAATTAACAAGATGTGTGGCAAAAGAGATCAGAATAATATAGCAGCGGTGGCAATGTAAAGTATTAAACATTAAGAATAAGTTTTAGGATAAGCAGATTAGAAAGGTACATATGAAGAAATACCAGGATCTAAGACTGAAAAAAAGATAAAGGACACCTGCACCATTGTAAGTGATCCCGAGTTGTAAGACGAAGTCTCCAACTGTCGATCGCTGTTATAGTACTAACGATAACCTGGCAATCTATGTCTGTTAACATGGCTCGGCTTCATGCTGCTGTTTATATGTTCAAACAAAACGGTAGGACAATACTTCGCACGTTTTCACTGGGGACATCAGTTATTTACATTCACAGATGTTTTATCATGACCTTATATTGAAGCTACTGGCAAATAGGAAAAAGGAATTTCAATTTGTGTACTTTAAGTCAGCGTTAGGCATTTTAGGTGCGACGATTGTATTGAAAGCTAATGCTGATTTCGGTCTAGTCATGAATAATAGGTTGTATTTGTCGCCTTAGTTATTCTGATTTCGTGTATCAATGCTTCAACGACTTCCGTACCTAGACTTATCACTTGTTTATGAATTCAGTCTCGAAATTTATAAGCGTTTACTAGATTGCGTATCAGTTTTTCCTTACTAAAATAAAGAGGTGTGAGACCAAGTGGGCTTCAGATAGAAGTAGTGCATCAGTTCTGAAGTTATGTAAATGCTATCAAATATTCTAAAAATAGCTCACCATTCAGTTATACTTCGAACTGTTCACTACGTGCTTTATGAAAAAGGTTTTCTAATTATGGGAGAAGTCTTAAATTCTCAATTTTAAGTAGTTGTTACAAAAGAACTTAGGGCGTGACATTTAATAAAAAAAGTATAATTTCACCCAGTAATTTGATAGTATTTGTTTCTCGTGAGTTAAAATCTCACATGTGTGAACAAGTGTTTTGCCTACGCTTGTTTTGATTTATTTATTTATTTATTTGAACACATAAATATTGGTACAAGAGAGCGCCAATATATATGCGCCACACAAAACAATGAGAATTCGAGGAGAAAAGAAAATAAAGAGGTAAGGAGCGTAAAAAAAAGAGAACAATAACGAAGAGATTGGTGTAAGGTAGTAGGGTAGTATTGAGGGAACGGAAAGGTACAATCGGAAGAAATCTTTCAGGTAAGGGAGACACAACCACTTTTTATGAAGAAAGTAAAAGAAGGTTACAGCAGGATCGCCACTGGCTTCTATTCTGAGCCACATCTGATAACGTCTCTAGCCACTGTGTAGCACCATCTCTCGGACCCCAACCAGGGAGTCGTGAAGGACCAACAGAAGCCAGTCCTTTGCAGCTTTCTTTCACGCCACGACACCATGTCATGCACTAACCATCTCTCCGCTTCTTCCAACCAGTCCCAGAGTCGGCAAATAATGCACGACGTGGAATTCTCTGGGACGACATTCGGAGAACATGTCCAAGCCACCGAAGTCGGTGTTTCAAGATGGTGATACCGATTGAATTATCATCTCTGTGCCCGAACACACGATGCCGAACTTCTGCATTACTGACATGATGTTGCCACTGGATGTCAGCAATCCTTCTGAGACAGCGATGATCGAACACAGAGAGTCTTCTAAAGTCCTCAACTCGGAGAGACCAGGTTTCACTACAGCACGTTGTCATTAATTTGGCGTGGTTTGTGGTAACTTAGATATCTTTTTGACTTATTCAAAACAATAACGTACGTAGCAGAATAACTTGGTCTTATCTAAAACAATGAGTGCCTTCGGTAAATTTTGATAATGTCAAGGGAAAGCGTTGTTCAGAAGAATGTGATGTGTTTGTAGCAGTCTGGTCACATTTTGGTCGACCAATTGAATAAAAGTTCAATACAGTAATAATTGGCAATAAAGGAAATGAAAAATAATATAAAGAGAATAAGTTGTCATCACCCAAGGCCTTAGAATGGATCAGAGGTTAACATAAACGCAAGGTGAAAGCAATTCATTCTTTCACACAATAATTCTTTGAGTTTCCTGGTAGCCAAGGCTTTTATAAACCTAAAAGTGCTCCCCTAGCATTTCCCCCATATAACGGTAAGAGCCAGTTCAAGGTCAGTCCTATAACCTGTATTAATTGTGTGTTTTGCAATCGAGGAGAGGGTGGTTTTTTGACCCTAGGGTTTATCGGAGCATAGGACACGCTGATAACGGAACCATTTTTGGACATGTTTCATCATTATAGAATGCAGTGTTCGGTTACTTACTGACGCGGTTTGTCGCAGTAGTATTTTGTTGATGACCAAGTCCCTGAAGTGTGGAAATAAGAAATATGAGGTTCCTTCACCAATTCTGTATTCTCTTCGTGCCTGAGTAGTTTATTACGTTTCTGAGTGCTTATTTATTTCATGTTGGTTACTAATTACTATAATCATAGTTTAGATGTGCTCTGTAGAAATTAACCAAGGTTTGCGTTTCATCGAGGACATTTAAATGATTTGTGATAAACGCACTGTTAATGCCACGTTTTTGATGGAGTTTTGTTCTCTGAGCTTGATGGTTTGGTCGTGGAGCTTTCATCGTTCTTCTGAACGACATCATCAGCACAGACTTCACGACCAAAACATCCAGCCCACAGAACTAAACTCCATCAAAGTCATCCACTTGAGCTGCAAATCTTCACCATCTCAAAAAGTTAATGCCACGTTTCACAAGTTCCATATGATTGAGTAACGTCGGTAAACAATAATAGAGTTTAATGAATAAACCGGAGTCTTCATTGCTCTATATGGTTAAGAATACCTGTAATATATTAAAAAAAAGCTTGTCGTTCAGGCTAGTGTTGTGTTCTCAAAGCTGGATGGTGCAGTTGGAATGTTTTCATACTCATTCTGGACAACAATTTATCATATTGTTCAAATTAATGCTGCCTGTTTCTCGATTAAATTATTCAGTTCGAAAAAAACATCGAATGGTATACTTCTAAAATTTAGGACAGTTCTTAAGTAAGATCTCAGTCATTTTCATTAGCGAATCACAGCGTATATAAATGATAGTTTTTATTTTGACTAGAATAATGCTATTGTTTAATCAGCCTACTACCTCAATTTGATTTGCACATATCTCGATGTTCACTTGATCAAAATCAAATCATTTCTATTTGATGAACGAACTCGATGTAACTTATCAGTGTTGACATTCACTTGATAAATATTCATCATTCAGTAGATTTCTTCTAATTATTTCTGTTTCATGTTACACCTTTTTGTAATAAATAAGTGGAATTGTAATTAATGTAGAAACTAACAAATTGTAAATCGATTATTCTCGTAATATTTGTAATTCACTAACCATTCTTATTCAGTTGTGTACTTCATTATTGTAACTTGTTTAAAAAATAATGGAAACTTATATCTTGAAGTGATATCAATGTGCTATGTTCCCTGATCTGGATATGGTTTAATTGTATGTCTTTCATTCTTGTTCTAGGTGACACCATCACAGACCACTTAGAATTAATATTTCGTTTTCAATAATTTGAATAAAACTTAATACTGCTGTATTTAAACATTTAAGAGATTGAGAAACAAGTAAGTATAATTTTAATAGTTGAGATCATGAGTCAGTTGAAGCTAGACCATCATGGAAAACCTTGAAGCACTGGACGGGTGTTTCATCTTATCGTGGGACTCCTCAGCAGTGTGCATCCACGATTCCGACTCGTGAGATTCGAACCCAGGACCTATCAGTCTCGCGCGAAAACGCTTAACCTTTAGACCACTGAACCGGCATCCAACGGTGTTAATGTCTAACTTTGATCAATTCCCGAAATTGTGCCACTGTCCACCATTGTCTTCAATGAGTTACTATCTCACAACAGACCCGGTTGAACTCCACTAGTTTTAATAAGCTTGTAGTGCATTAATATCAAACAAAAGACTGAAAACAAATGAAGTTGAAGTTTCTCAGGAAACTATGTTTTGAGAGACAACAAAACAATAAAACATTCAATTAATAAATACCTTTGTATAGCTTTATATTAACATATAAGTAACTAAGTAATTTAACTAGAAGTATTATAAATTTACATGGAAATGATCCTTATGTATTACATCAACTCAAACATAAACTGAAGTTCATTTGTATTGATTGTTTGAATATTCTTGTTGACATTTAGGATTGAGATTAATCCTTTGCAAACTACCTCGATATTATTAGCTGACAAGTATCAAATTGTATGAAATGTACATTCTAATTTTCACTGCTATCCACCATTCAACTCTCCTTATAAACTGAAGTATTGTTCTTACCAATAAATCTTTTAACTTTGCAATTACAGACAAGAATCAGCATATCATATAAAGACTGAAAGTATTAATGGTTTTTTTTAAACCTTAAAAATCTGATTTTGTTTTCTTCTCATATTATAATACACTAAGACAGACATTTAACTGGTTCTTATGAAATGGATATACGATTGCTTTTATCTATGGTATATATATATATATATATATATATATATATATATATATATATATATATATATATATATGGAAATCAGTTCTAGTGTAAACAGTCATATAACTTCTGGTGATTACTTTAACATTCTGGATATATTTCCTAATGATAAAGCAGAATAATCCTAATCGATTTACATAAATAGATAAGTTTGAAATAAATAAATCCTTAAATTTGATTGGTTGGCTATTTTTTATTACTGTGTTCTGATTGGTTTATCATGACAAGTCAGCTGTTTTTACTTAGATAATAAAATCAGCTGAGAAAAAAAAGTTAGTCTATAGATATTTGGAAAAGCTAAAATAAATTGTTTTTTCATTATTTTTCTGATCAATTCATAATTTTATTTGCTACTTCGTATTTATGATAAACCAGTTTTAATTTAATCATTGTGAAATGCTATTCGTCTGTTGATATCATCACAAATTTACGTTTAAAGTGGTTACAAATTTTAGCTACGCAAAAGCATATTATAGAAATTTCAAGAAAAGTGAGTATTGGGTAAATTGTCGTTTAGAAGTTAAGTGTTAGTGCACGAAACATAAAGTCCTGGGTTCGAATCCTGCATGTGGGATCATGGAGTTCAATACTTGGACTGAACGGATGTTCAGTGCTTTCAGGTTTTCAGTAGTGGTCTAACATTGGTCGGTTGATGATTTCAATCAGAAAAACTCAACAATCTCCATATCCCCATATTGCGTTCAAATTGATTGATGAATCATAATCATATGGAATTTACAACGTTATTTTATAACTACGGTGTCAAAATAATAATAACAACTATTTATTCACACTGTTATTCAAATATACATTTTCCTCTTATATTGTACATTATTATTTGGCTGCTATAAGTACAGTAAAGTTGACGTTTCCTAGAGCTTTTCGATTTAAAGGTTATATTTTCATAAGATTAATTAACTAACTGTGTTTTCATTATCAAAATGTACCATATTGGTTCATATACAGTTAATTTCCATGATTAATTTGAACTAACGCAGAATAATACCCCTTTGCCGTCTTGTTCTTTTATTGTTTTTATAAATACCTATCCAAATGTAGTAGCAAGTACGTAGAAAAGATTGAGAGAAGGGTTTATACGTGACTTGAAAAAGAGGTACTTAGAAACATGTGTCTGAAAGCTGATAAAGTTTTCATAGTACTAATGACCAGACATTTAATAAAAAATGAGATAATGTAAATTTTTATAACAAAAACAAATGGCCCATTTTACTTCGCTTTGTAGAGAATGTTGTGTCTAAATATTTCCGACCTCAACTAATTTTAGAACGATAATGTAATAAATTTTTCTTTGACATGGTAAATATGACTGTAATTAAATAAATTGGTCTGTTACTATATCATATTAATGGTGTCCATTTTGTTGAATACAGTAAAAGTCGAACCTTGGTTTCTTATCAGTATTGACTTTCATAAATTTATGTTATTTATAGTTGAATAGAAGTAAGTTGCTTACTGAAAATTCTTCTGTACTCTCTTTATTGAAATGGATTAGTTTTTTTTGAATTGTTCCGAAATCATGTAAGCTATTGATACAATAGTGGCTTAGTAGTTTTAGCTTTTATCATTCATTTCACACGTCATGAGATTTAACTATATTCTACATACTTCGATCGTGTTAGTCACTTGATAATTCTGAGCCTCACACGTACACACACACACCCACAGACGCAAAAAACTGATTTCTCGAATCAGTAATATTGATAACTAATAAACTATTAATAATGACTTGAAATCTATATTCAATCTCATGTTGTATATTCTAACATTTTAGAAAGTTATTATTTTCAATAAAATGAATAGAGTTTTCTTTAGTACATTCCTTTCATATTACTTATTACAGTCTACTGATAATAACTCTGTAGCAAGAGAGATAGAGAGAGAGAGCGAGAGAGCGAATGAATGAGTGAGAGAGTGATCCATTTGACAAAAACTACAGACTGTTGATAAGCACACTTGTATATCTACAGTAAAATGTAAATTAATACTGATAAATTAATTATTTTGTAATCAGTTGGATTACATCATCTTGCATTCAGTAAAACATTCGCACTTTTTTTCATTATTAATTAATTTGTTCCGTTCATAAAATATTTTCATGATTATTTGATGAAATAAAGGTAAATGATTATCAGGTGATTGCATCATACTACATCATTACAAGTACATTTTGTTTTAAAATATGAAAGAACAACATTAAGCATGATTTTGAGATGGTGGAGATTTGTAACTCAGGTGAATGATTTTGACGGGGTTTTATTCTCTGAACTGAATGGTTTGCTTGTGGAGTTTTCATCATTCTTCTGAACGACATCATTTGAACAAACTTCAGGTACAAGTGAAGTGTTCGAATTTCTCCAACTTGTTGTTCACAGCATGTCCTGTACACCTCGTGGATGATTGGTTCTTGTTGACCTTAAACGTATCATTGTTTACTTCTTTGTTTTGGTTGTATCTCCCATTGGTTTGATTTTTGTTCCTATGTTTGTGCATAATTTTCCTCATTGGTTGATAAGTTGGATCGATTTCAATGTGCATATTGATTGCCGACTGACCTGAGTTTCAAGTTTCTAAAAATTCTCTGGTGTTTTTAGAATTGCTTCTATACAAAATTTCCACATTTTTCAAATCGAATGCGTCCGCAGTTGTTCACGTGCACTGATATAAGTGAGGACATATCATGGCATTTGACTGCTAGTTGATATTCATTCAGGCGAAGATGAAAAGGACGTCAGCTTTATCTGATGTAGTGTTTTTCGCAGCTGACACAGTTTATTTTGCAGATGATGTTTGGTTTATCTTCTTTTGTTATTTCATCCTTTGATTCGCATAGGATTGATTGTAGTTATTTTTTTATTTGTGTACAGCACCTATTCCGAAGGTTTTCAACAGTCTCGTTCTACTTTCTGATATGCCTTTTATGTATGGTAGGGTGATAGTTACAATAACTTAATAATTAAACGATATGTTAAACGTCTGTTCTAGGTAAAATTCCGTATTAGTGCAACTATTTTAATCGCATTATCTCCTCAGACTTACTGTACAGTGAAGACAGTCGTATATGTGACCACTAAGTCATAACTTTTGTTTCTTGGAAATCTAACTAACCTAAGAAGTTCTCATTTACTACTTAATACACTGGGAAATTTCGATAGACTAAAGGGAACTGAGGGAAGTTAAATGTCAGTCAGATACTCATCAACCCTTCCAACTGTAACATTTGCACAGTGGTTGAACCAAAAAATTTGAGATCGTGGACTGGGTACAGTAATTTTAGCTCACAGAGTTAGTATTCAGTGATGCATGATTCCAATCACCTACGAGGTGGAGGTCCAATCTCTGGTTTTCAGTGGGGAGATAAACAATCAAGATCAAACTGATATTTAGTGATCCTCTGTTCTTAAAGATTTTCTGGTTCGATTGTGCCTGCAATTTTAACTACCTGTAGATCAAATAATCACAACGAACTGTATTTCGTAAACGATTCTGTCTGCCAAAAGTCTCGAGAAATATTTCCTAGCTACGTTGTACTACTAATAAGTAGTTGAATTTAGAAAAACGAAGTGAAAGCACTTGATAAGAGAGTTGCAAAATATGTAGGAATTGAAGTGTACAAAATATTGTTTGAACTAGGTAACATTCGTGTTATATTTCGAGGAGAATAAACAACAGTAACTGTTATGATCTATTTATAGACTAATACTTTACATATATTCTTATTGTACAACTATTCAGTAACTAGATTTGGTATATTTATATTCCTCTTATTAAAGGCTTTATTTTGACCTATAGACTATTATGATACGATTTACTAGTCTTAAATTATACTCAGTTTGCTAATTACTGTCTTCTACAACCACACCTCCTTTTGGCTTCATCGTGTATTAATGTCATTTCCTATTTTATGGTGTGATGCGGTCCGTTTGGCGTGTATATAAACCAGGTATGATTGAAATGAATGATTCACACAGTGGAAGCTAATATTGGTATTCTGAACTCAGCTGGCAGGGTTAAGTAGGGAAAGGACCAATAAAGATGCTAGACTGCTCACACCGGTCGACACATCATTGGTTTTGCACAGCGCTAAGATTTTATAAGTCATACTCTGGTTGATGAATAAATCACGTGATATTTAACCGGGCTAAGTCGCAAAAATTTGGTAATCGCATTAAACAACACTCGTAAATATATGATAAGAATATGTCTTGGTGAAATGCTGACATATATTTACATTTAACAAACACTAAATCTATTCACAGCAATAAATAATGAATTGAGTAAACATGAAATCAGAATAATTAATTTGTATTGTACAAATAACTTGTTTGTTCTATTGCATAAATCGTAATAACAACAGTTATACTTGTTAACAAGTCCTGGAGTAAGCTCATTGATAGCATCTTTAGGTGGACATTTAAGTAAACATCCTCGACCTTCCATTTGATAACCTTGGAAAGTTGAGTAGGCTGTCTGTAAATGAGAAATTGAAGAAAAACAAAACATTGTTCAAAGAAAAATACACTTCTATATATGATTCGTATATATGCAATGTCTTGATTTAGTTTCCTAATATTATTTGTATTCCTGCTATTCTATAATGATGTATTCATAATACTTTGTAACCAAGCAAGTGGCTATCAGGACTCAGTAGCTAAGCGGATAGCGCGATGCCGTTTGAAGTGAATGGTACTGGGTTTGAGTCCCAGAGTGAACATCAACTCTGTGATTCAGGTACATCCACCTGACGGGTCCCAATTGAGACGAAGCGTGCGTCCTGGATTCCACTGTTAGCCACTATCCATCATTGCTTACGTAAAAAGCTTGTGAATTAAGGCGATGTCGAGGCATACTCACAGTATGCACATATGCCAATAACAAACTGATCAATTGCAGTTTTAAACCTCAATGGGAAGATACAAGCCAAACAATACCAAGTGAATTTAAATTCACCCCATTGCATAAGCAAGTGGCTATCAGGACTCAGTAGCTGAGTGGATAAGGCAATGACGTTTGAAGCGAATGGTACTGGGTTCGAGTCCCAGAGTGAACATCAACTCTGAGATGCAGGTACATCCAGGTGACGAGTCCCAAATAGGATGAAGCATGTATGCTGGATTCCACTGTTAGTCACTATCCATGTTTGCTTATAAATCAAAATAGTACAGAAAGAATGTTAATGAGTCTAAAAGGCTAAATAAAATAATTTAAGTATATTTCTTTCGTAGAATAACATACTGATACACTGATATCAACTCCGCATGAAGCCCCTTTGGAGCTACTGCTGGCCTCATACCCGGATAAAGGGGGAAAGTTGAGCACTGAGTTGGCGACTTCATTGCGTAGAAAACTAACTCGTCAAAAAGACGCTAACTATAAAAAATTATTTAAACTATTTAAACTCTGCCCTAAGAGTTAGAAGGTCTTCATTTAGAAGAGTTATGACGCCTTATGGTGAAAGCTGAGTTCCTTCGGAAGTCACGAGGCTGATGCCCCTATTGACAACCAAAGCAATTATTAGTTTAGGTATATGGAATGCTCGTACAATGTGAGAGACCTGGAGAGTCTTCCAAATTGCTGGAGAAATGACGAGGTACAATCTGGAGGTTCTTGTAATCAATGAAACACATTGAACGCAGGTTGAACAACAACGACTAACTTCAGGGGAGCTTCTGTTATACTCCGGCCATGATGAAGAAAATGCCCCACATACACAAGCAGTTGCATTGATGCTATCCAAACAAGCACAAAGTGTACTTATAGGATGGGAGTCAAGGATCATCAAAGCCTTTTCCAAAACAAAGAAAGAGGGCATTACAATGAACGTCATCCAATGCTATGAACCTATTAACGACTACAATGAAGACGTTAAAGATCAATTCTACGATGGGCCACAGTCGATCGTCGAGAAGTGCCCAACACTGATATTGGTAAATATCAACGAAACAAACGCTAATCATGAGTAAGAATAAGATAAACAGAGAATACCTCATTTAGTAAAATGTAAATAGGTATTTCTTGAATATTAGACGTCACATTGATACTTTGTACTTTATTGGAGGTATCAACAAACAGTCTAGTTCTAGTTATTTGAATGGTTCTGAAGTTGTTATTAATAGGCAACAGGATTTGAAGTTAAATGTTCCGAGAAAAAACTGTTGTCAATATTTCTCTGTAATTGTGAAGTAACTTTTATCTTGGTATATCGCAAAGCTTCTTTTAATTCTCTCATTTGATTACTTTGTTATTTTTAAAACTCATTTATTTCATTGACTTGATTATCAACTAACTGAGCTTTACTCATAATATTTTATTCTTATGTTAACATCTATCCATTACGTAATGAACAATTTCTAGTCCTTTGGTCTTGACGGTTATCAGTGAACTAGAATGCCATTCTACGTTTGAAATATACTTGTAATATTGTTACTTAATTATAAGCAAAGATAGTTAGTGGCTAGTAGTGGAATCCAGGACGCACGTTTCGTCCTATTTAGGACTCGTCAGTTGAGTGGATAATGCGATAGCGTTTAGAGAGAACGATACTGCGTTCGAGATTCAGAGTAAACATCAACTCAGAGATGCAAGTACATCTGGCTGACTAGTCTCAAAGACGACGAAACGAGCGTACTGGATTCTACTGGTAACCACTATCCATCTTTACTTATGAAGCTTGTGACTTAAGGCAATATTGAGGGAGTACGTACACGATGCACATATGCTAACAAGAAACTGATCAATTGCAGTCCTAAACCACAATACTTACTTACTTACTTAATTACGCCTGTTACTCTTCGTGAAGGAACATAGGCCGCTCACCAGCATTCTCCATCCGACCTTGTCCAAATCAATCCTTTCCAGCTCTTTCCAGTTGTTATTCATCCTTTCCATATCTGATTCCATTTCCCGATGTAATGTGTTCTTTGGCCTTCCTCTTTTCCGCTTCCCTTCACGATTCCAAGTTAGTGCTTGACTCGTGATGCAGTTTGATGATTTGTCTAATGTATGTCCTATCCATTTCCATCGTCTTTTCCGAATTTCTTCTTCAGCTGGAAGTCGGTTTGTTCTCTCCCACAGAAGGCTATTGCTGATGGTATCCGGCCAATGGATGTTGAGTATCTTGCGTAGACAGCTATTTATAAATACTTGTACCTCCTTGATGGTGGTTGTTGTAGTTCTCCAAGTTTCAGCTCCATACAGTAGAACTACCTTGACATTCGTATTGAAGATTCTCATTTTGATATTGAATGAACGTTGTTTTGAGTTCCATATGTTCTTCAACTGAAGGAATGCGGCCTTTGCTTTGCCAATCCTCGCCTTTACGTCTGCATCTGATCCTCCCTGTTCATCGATTATGCTTCCCAGGTATGTGAAGGATTCTACATCTTCCAGGGTTTCGTCATCAAGAGTGATTGGATTGCTGTTTTCCGCTTTGAATTTGGAGACCTTGGTTTTCCCCTTGTGTATGCTGAGGCCTACTGATTCAGAGACTGCTGCTACACTGGCTGTCTTCATCTGTATTTGTTCATGTGTATGCGATAGGAGGGCTAGGTCATCTGCGAAGTCTAAGTCGTCTAATTGATTCTGAGCTGTCCATTGTGTTCCGCGTTTTCCCTCAGATGTCGAGGTCTTCATAATCTAGTCGACCACCAGAAGAAAGAGGAAGGAGGAGAGTAGACAGCCTTGTCTGACTCCGGTCCTTACTTGGAATGCATCTGTCAGCTGTCCTCCATGCACGAGTTTGCACTGTAGTCCGTCGTATGAGTTCCAGATAATGTTGACAATCTTCTCAAGTGGAACATACTTCTTAATATTTATTCATATTGCAAGCAATAAATTAAAAGTAAAACCTTCTTTATTTTATTGTAATGTGGGGTTATTTCCACTTGACTTACAATACAAACTCCACAGTTATCTAAAATTTCGTCTTTTGTAATTTGGAATAATTTTTTGTATTTGTCTTCACATGGTAAACAAACACGACATTTGATAGCAGAAACTACAAAGAAAAGACACAGAAAAATATACATTTTTCTCATTAAGTGGATTTACAGCTCTCAGTTGATATATTAATTCCAATGTTATTATTGGAGGGAATCAGTAGAAATACGATAAACCTACTCAGTAATTCATTTTGTTCTACATTGTGAATATAAAATGTGCTCTTTAAATGTAGGGATTATCCATAAGTTTCTAGCATTCAATCGTAGATACCTTCAGAGCATTGTTCACGTATCTAGAGAAGTCTAAATGAGGATCCCTAAAGTTAAAAACGGAGTAATAAGTAAAGATAACAAACTGATTGATAAAATTGTGAATCTTTATCGATTAAAGGGGTTGAAACGTGTATTACGTACGGCTGTCCAGTGCTTCCAGGTTTTCCATGGTAGTTGTTAGAGTGATTCAGAAAATTTATTGCAAAAGACATGTAGGCATCAAGAAACAATAAGAAGCATTTCATCCAATCAGCGTTCATTTAAAGTGTTAACCAAAAATATCAAAGAAGTGAAACATCACATGTAGAGGTTCTGATTGACTGATTGCTATATTGCTAATATGTTTAGTAGCATTCCAGAATCTTCAAGCAACCCAAAGACATTTAAAAATACTACAAGAACTCTATATTTTCTGTTAAAATGAACCTTGGAGTAAAACTACTTCTCGCATACTTTGCGTCTTCTCTCTGATTGTTTAGGTCGATGTATAGTTCTAGCTTTTTTTGAGGTGGGGGCTTACAGAATAGCTTAGGAAACAAATATAGCGTTCAATCCGCAAGACTTATCAGTAGTCTAGATTCAAATGAATCATGGTCTCAACTATTGAAATTACTATAATATCCACAAAACTCTTTCTGATATCTATCAAAATCAGTCATTAAGCAATAACTGTCAAATAAAAAAAGTTTAAACATTTAAAGTCATTTATTATCTTAGTAGGTAGTGTTATAAACAATTGACGTCTATAATCTTGACATTATGAAATATGTAGTATATGTAGTATGGAGTACATAGTATATATATATAGTATAGTATAGTATATATACAGTATATACATAGTATATATATCGTAATATACTTATTACATAACATTTGACATCCATTTTGCAAAACAGCCAAATGTATTTTATTTTCAAATTTAGAATGATTTTCATCTTAAAATTAAAAAAGAAAAGAAAAGAAAAAAGAAAACAATTAACCGTTTTTTTCCTTTTTCTTTTCTTTTTTGATTTCTTCATTGGTTACATATGAAGATTCGGAGAATAGAATTGAATTGTTATATACTACTATAACAATTTATTAATCTGTAAAGATTCATATTTTTAGTTTTAGCGGTGTTTGTTATAACTTATGGACTGAGTGCCCTGTTAATGTATAACGTAACGATACTGCCAATTAGAGAACAGTGAATTATCGATCGGACCAAACCTGTACGAATAGTCTAGAGTCCTTATCGGTCCTACTTCCCGCCTAGCCCAACCTGTTATGTCCAGAACACCAATCTCAGCCTCTGCGATATCAATCATTTATTTCAAACATACTGGGCTTATATACAAAACTAAACAGACCAAATCGTACCATAAAACGGAAAATAACATTTGTACAAGATTTAGCCAAAAGTGACTGTGAATGTGGGAGATAGTAATTGATAGATAAGGCATAACTCAAAAATGGTCAATGTTATAATAATAGTTTATAGGTCAAAATAAAGCTTATGATAAGAAAAACACGAATATGAATAGTTTAGTTATTTAACAATTATACGATCAAAATATACGCATAGTGGATCCCAAAGTTACCATTGATTATTCTCATACAGATATAACAATATTTAAAGTGTGTATTTGATTTAAAAGTACATATGTATACTCTCTAGTTAGATTACTTAATATTCGACTAAATTACTATATATATATATATATTACTAAATTGAAATTAGTAACGACATTCAGGAGTCTGAGTTCGACACATTTTAGTTTCATCAAACGGACTATATGAAAATCTTTTTTGGGGACTAACATTTTGCAAATTAGAAAAACATTCTTAATCATCTGCATATTTTAATATAAACCAAACTATATTTCATTACAAAAATAAGTTTGTTTTTAGTAATGAAGAAATGAACTATAAGAGGAAAGATGAATAGTGAATGGCAGTGGTATTTAGGACTCACGTTTCGTCCTATTTAGGACTCGTCAGCTGAATTGATCAATTGCAGTCCTAAACATCAATTGGAAGATTCAAGTAAACATTATCAAGTGAATAAAATTATTATGTCTGATAAGTCTTGCGGATTGAACGCTATATTTGTTTCCTAAGCTATTCTGTAACCCCCCACCTCAAAAAAAGCTAGAACTATACAGCGACCTAAACAACCAGAGAGAAGACGCAAAGTATGCGAGAAGTAGTTTTACTCCAAGGTTCATTTTAACAGAAAATATAGAGTTTTTGTAGTATTTTTAAATGTCTTTGGGTTGCTTGAAGATTCTGGAATGCTACTAAACATATTAGCAATATAGCAATCAGTCAATCAGAACCTCTACATGTGATGTTTCACTTCTTTGATATTTTTGGTTAACAGTTTAAATGAACGCTGATTGGATGAAATACTTCTTATTATTTCTTGATGCCTACATGTTTTTTGCAAGAAATGTTCTGGATCACTCCAACATGTCAAATAATTTATTTAAATCAGCTATTTCAATAACTCTTTCATAGATCGAATTCACTTGGTATTGTTTATTTGAATCGTCCCATTGATGTTAAGGACTACAATTGATCAGTCTTATTGGCATATGTAAATCCTGTGATGACTATCTCAATAGTGCCATCATTCACAGGCATTATAAGTAAAGATGGATAGTGGTTAGCTCGTCTCGTCCTATTTGTGACTCGTCAACTGGATGTACCTACATCTTAAATTTGATTTTTACTCTCGATCTCGAACCTATTATCATTCACTTTAAAAGTCATCGCATTATCCACTTAGTTACTGAGTCCTGATTTCTGCTCTCTTGTTTAATATGGGACGGCTCTAGGTTCAAATCACAGAGTGTACATCAACTTTGAGATATAGGTACATCCAGTTGACGAGTCCTAAATAGAACGAAACATGAGTCCTAAATACCACTGCTATCCACTATCCATCTTTCCTCTTATAGTTCATTTGTTCATTACTAAAAACAAACTTATTTTCAATGAAATATAGTGTAAAATGTGATCAATAAACGAACCCACCAATAATATAGGGAAACGTCCACCACCACATTAACTCCTTATGACCTTGTACGACTATATCTCTTTATTAACCAATCACAGTTTAATGTTCATTGTAAAACAATATTTGTTTGTTGACTCATTTTTCCTATTCTCAGGCTACTATTCGAAACAGATAATGTTTATATAGCTAAATAGCTTACTTGTTCTGACTTTGGCCAAACCAAGACTCTGTATTCGACAGTCTAGAGAATAGTTTAGAATTAAACCTGTAGGAAATTGCTCCCTACATATAGTTTGGTTTATATTAAAAATATACCAGATGAATAAAAATGTTTTTCTTATATGCAAAATGGAAGAAAACCTTTTTCTAAAATTCACATTTACTGTGTACGTTTGATTTATTGAAATCAATAACTTGTACATATGTAAATTATCACTAACATACATCAATAGATTTCTGATATTTTTGTCAGGTAGATATATATATCCAGAAAAGAAAAAAAAATCAATAAAATTGTGACATTGTTTCATCAAATGATACTATGGATGAATTATGTGAACATTCATTGAGAAATGATTTTTAATACGGTAACAATCGATATATTATTTGTAAATCAATATTTAATTTACAATCGGTTTTCATCATGAAGATGACATCATTCAGAAAATAGCTGAAAGATAAGAAAATTGTAGTAAATTATTACCCCCCTCCAATGTTTTTGTACAGTCGAGGATGAAGAGAGTCCACTCTCCCTCTTCAAATGCTCTTACATGGTCCCGCTTATACAAATACTGTCAAGGAAGTCCTACTCATTAAACTTTCGTAATGGGGATGTTGTTTACGAAATTGAGGGGACGAAAAACGAATTTCCGGAGCTTTAACTGGGTTGGTGGATATAGGAGATCCACCTAAGAGAGTTGGAAAACTCTGATTCTAAATCAACCATGCACATGAGCTCCAGGATTCATAGAGTACAGATAGCGTATGAGCCAATTGTTGGTCACCAACTACCATGGGACTGCATCTACTGATGTTCTTCCACTGTCTTGTGGATTAGACCTTTAAGTCAAAGGCTCAGGTTGTGGCCTCTTAAGAAAATTACCTACTTCGGTTTGGGAACCTGGAAAGTAAATATCACAGCGCTCTCACAAATCAATAATAACTACTACTAGCTTCATTGATATTGTGTGGTGCATATATATTTGATGCCCCATAGTACCATAGTTTATATGTTCAAATAGGTAAATAATATCCAACTATTTGGTTGAAAACGGAAATTTATAAACTGAGTGCATTTATGTTGACAGTATTAACATTCCAATCACCATGTCTCGATAGTGAATATCATCATCATCATTTGTTATCAGCTGGTATTACGGGTACAATTTATGAATCCCAACTCATTGATTACATGGAATCCTCAATGCCAAAGAAGAAGAGGAGAACCCAAGAACACATTACACCGAGAAACGGAGACAGAAATGAGAAAAATCAACAAAAGTTGGATAGAACTGGAAAGGAAGGCCCAGGACAGAGTGAGTTAGAGAATGCTGGTCAACGGTCAATGCTCCAATGGGAGTAACAGGCGTAAGTAAGTACGTAACTCATTGAATAATACGTTAACTGTGAAATAACAATTAGTGAGACAAAACTTGGCTTAGAATGACAGTTATTTCATAAATGAAATACCATAGAACACTGATTCAAACTACATAAATGAGTTAAATGAAAAATAATCAACTACATTTCATTTTGCTTTTTATCAACCTGCTTCATTTGAAAAAGATACTTGAGAAATGGTTAAAACAGACTTGTTTTGTAAATTGTTTTTGTTACTATATGTATTTCTTTCAATATTTCTCATAATTGGTACAATTACTATCAGTGACTGTTACATAGTTGTTTAAAATAACATAACCTTGGAACTTCTCTCTTATTTTAGAATCCTCTATAGCATTACACATTGATTATCACTCCTCAATACACTGCTGTATACAATGCCTCTTTTTCTCAATTACCCACTGTTATGATAACAGAGCTCTATTATATTTGCTATCTACGTTTACAGATAACAGTGATATTAGTATCAGAAGGGGTTTTGTGGAGATTGTATTAATTTCATTAATTGAGATCATGAGTCATTTGAAGCTAGACCACCATGGAAAACCTGGGAGCACTAGACGGCCGTTTCGTTCTTTTGTGAGACTCCTCAGCAGTGCGCGCGCGCGACCCTACCCTGCGGGATCCGAACCCAGGACCCATCAGTTCTGCGCCAGGCACTTAACCAACTAGTCCACTGAGCCGGCATCCAGAGGTGTTAATGTGTAACTCCAACTAGTCCATGAAGTTGAGCGACAGTGATATTCCCATTGTATTTGGATATACATCTCAACCTATAACAATTGTAATTGTAATTATTACTTACTTACTTACTTACGCCTGTTATTCCCAATGGAGCACAGGACAAAGACCAGCATTCTCAAACCCACTTTGTCCTCTGCCTTCTTTTCTAGTTCCATCCAATTCTTGTTCATTTTTCTCATGTCTATCTCCATTTCTCGGCGTAATGTGTTCTTCGGTCTTCCTCTCCTCCTCCTTTGGCCTTGAGGATTCCATGTGAGGGCTTGTCTTGTGACTCAGTTGAGTGCTTTCCTCAATGTATGTCCTATCCACTTCCAGTACTTCTTCTTGATTTCTTCCTCCACTGGGATCTGGTTTCTTCTCTACCACAGTACGGTGTTGCTAATAGTGTCCAGCAAACGGATCTGAAGTATTTTACGTAGACAACTGTTAATAAACACCTGTATTTTCTGGATGATGGATTTCGTAGTTTTCCAGCTTTCTGCTCCATACAGTCTTGACATTTGTATTGAAAATCCTGACCTTGATGTTGGTTGACAGTTGCTTTGAGTTCCAGATGTTCCTCAGTTGTAAATATGCTGTTCTTGCTTTGCCGATCCGCGCCTTCACATCTGCATCAGATCCACCATGTTCATCAATGATGCTGCCCAGTTACGCAAAAGGTTTTTACATCTTCCAAATCTTCTCCGTCGATTGTGATTGGATTGGTGCATGCTGTGTTGTATCGGAGAATCCTGCTTTTCCCTTTGTGTATGTTGATACCTACTGCTGCTGAGGCTGCTGCCACACTGTTTGTCTTCTCCTGCATTTGTTGTTGCGTTTGCAACAGAAGGGCCAGATCGTCTGCGAAGTCTAGATCGTCCAATTGCATCCTAGATGTCCATTGTATCCCGTGTTTCCCTTCAGATGTTGACGTCTTCATGATCCAGTCGATCATCAGGAGAAAGAGAAAGGGTGAGAGTAAGCAACCTTGCCTGACACCAGTCTTCACTTCGAACGAGTCTGGTACCTGTCCTCTATGCACGATTTTGCAGTTTAATCCCTCATATGAACTCTGTATGATATTGACTATCTTCTGAGGCACGCCGTAGTGTCGAAGAAGTTTCCATAGTGTTGTTCTGTCCACGCTATCAAATCAATCGGTTCATGATCTCATTCAAAAACTTAATATTCTCCACTAGCCCATACTGGTTATTTTACTTCAGCCTATATTCGTGTTTCATTAAGAAGTGATAGATATCGGGATTATTATATAAAATATTTTGGGATTTTATATACATACCTGACTTATGATTTGTTTTCATATAGCCTTTCAGTGAAAATGTTTATCTACTTTATATTCACAGAAATTTTTTAAAATCACTCAAGTTATGAAGAAAAATAAATACAAGAGGTTAAGCGTTCGCGCGAGAAAAAGCTAGGCCCTAGGTTCGAGTCTCGCGAGGCGGGATCACAGATGCGCACTGCCGAAGAGTCCCATACTAGGTCGCAAAGGCTATCCAGTGCTTCTCGGTTTTCTATGATGGTCTAGCTTCAAGTGACTCATGAATTCAACTATTAAAATATACAAATTTGTTCAAAATTTGATTTTATATTACAATTTAACAAATGAATATTTTCAGAAGGGGTTTTGTGGAGATTCTAGTCATTTCAATAGTTGAATTCATGAGTCAACTGAGGCTAGACCACCATGGAAGATTTGGAAGCATTTGACGGCCGTTTTGTCCTATTATGGAACTCCTCAGCACTGCACATCCACGATCCCGACCCCCCTCCCCGCGAAACGGTCATCCAATGCTTTTAGATTTTCCATGGTGGTCTAGCTTCAAATGACTCATGATTTCAACTGTTGAAATGACTATTTGTTTAAAGGTAATTCTATAAAGTATACAATTATGTTTCATTAAAACTACATGGCAATTAAAAAGGTCATGCAAATCTTTGAGATTTGAATTCGAAATGAAAATGTAGAAGAAAAATCTTTCTATAGAAGGTTACTATAATGTTTTTACCATTTAATAGCGCTATATAGACTGTAAGAAGTAGTAAATACGCATCATTTCATTTATTTGATTTCTTAATGAGGGTCAGCAATAATAATAGAGTTTTATTGAGATTACGAACTGATTCAAATTTGACAACCACTGGAAACATGAAAACAGTGAACGACTATTCTGTCTGAGTATACGACTTCGCAGTGTTACCCATTCACAATACTCTAATCGGGAATCAAACCCAGAAATTTCGATCACTCTAAGAAAGTCTAACGTCTAGATCACTGAACTAGCATCCACTAACTTTCAAGCTGACATTAATTCCTAATGGAAGTATATGTATGTTATTGCACTAATGACCAAGTGAAATCTTTATGCTATCTACTATTTAACTAACCAAATATCCCCCCAAATTGTTTATATTCATCTTGACTAAGCAATAATCTTTAATAATATCATCATTTATTCATGTGCTTTCATAAGAAAGATTGGTTCAATGAATAGTTCCCATGTTGGAGAATTCAACTTCAAAGACTGTAATATAAGGTTGTGGACAAATGTCAATTAGAGTTACACTACTATTTTAATCAAACCATCAAATAGTAGCTATGCAATTTTTAAAAAAAATCAAATTTCACTTACCATCTGATATAAACTGTAAAAGAAATACAATTATTACATTGATTTCACTAGTGATTATTATTTTTTTGTTCTTTTGCATGTTCAATTTGTCACTATGACATATATTGGATCATATAGGAGTTTCAACAACTAATGATGCTTTTGATCATTACTGTTTATGTATTCAGTAAAATAATAATAATCAATGTTTAACAATTATTTAGCAATTTGACACAGTTTTGTTTGTGTGTGTGTGTGGGGGGGGTCTGTGTCGACAGAAGTTCTCTCGTTCATATAATCATGCAACTTATATCAGTCTGGTTAAAGCACTATAAACACATACATTTATATAACTGTATATTATTGGTATGCAAGAGTAAACTACATGTAAGATTATTTGTTATCCAATGAATGAATACACAATTTGTTTGTTTGTTTGTAATTGACATTTCGATGAATTCATTAGTTAATGGTATATAGATAGTGAAATGTTCATGAAAAAAATGATGCATCATTTGTCAAGTGTCTAAGTCATAAATAAATCATTTCCATAGTTTGAAACAAGGATTAATGTTTCACTGATTGAAATCATGAGTCAGTTGAAGCTAGACCACCATGGAAAACCTAGAAGCACTGGATGGCCGTTTCGTCCTAGTATGGGACTCAACTTAGATCTTACCATAAATGGTGAAGTGTTATCTAGGTTACATACAGTAGTAGACTTAGGACTTAGATATTCCCAAGACTTGTCGTTTACAGAACAGATATTGAAACAGACCTCTAAGTCTCAACGTCTTGTCGGTTACATAACTCGAAACCTTCATAACAATGAGTCACGTATTTTAATGTACAAAGTTTGTGTTCGACCACTTGTAGAATATTGCACGTTTATTCTTAGCAGTGCGCGCACAAAGGATAAATTAAGGCTGGAATCAGTACAGAGATGATTTACACTTCGTATTCTTGCAGCTGATTGTACCTTAACTTATAATTCTAGATGTAATAAACTTGGGCTAGACCCTTTATGGAGGAGGAGACTCAAACTAAATCTTATCTTTTTTTCAAACTACTTCATAAACTATCGTTTACATCCGGTCACGCGATTCAATATGCAGAAACCTCTCATTATGACATCCGTAATTCCTTGTCACTAGTGAAACAAGCTCATTCTAAATCATCTCTTTATATGAATTACTTTACCTGTAAATTTTCTAGACTCTGGAATAACCTACCACCATCTATCCGTACGATAAAATCACTGCCATTATTTGTTCGTTGCATCGATGCATACTGCTCCTCTGAAAATGCATTGAATGTTCAAGCACCTGCAAGTGTATCTCATTCCACAAGTAATATTTTAGGAACTTTAAATATTTAGCCATTTTTATTAGTGCATTCCCTAAGTAAAACCACCTACTTGCTGTCACTTTATGTTAACACCGTCCCCAGCAAGTTTAACTAATTTGAATAACATCAACAGTATATCACTGTGCCACATGACACACGCATTTAGGTAGACCTGATTGACATATTTTGGTAATTACTGCTTTGTTGTTCCGTGCTCTCTGTTTTCATTTTACTTTCTCTAGTTGTAGATAATTATCATTAATTTCGATCTGGCACACGAAATGACCTCAATTACACCGTTCATAAATCAACAGGCTGTCCATTTAAGAAAAATTAAAAGTTCCCGGCTGATGCTTTATCTATATTATGTTATGTCATCTCTTTAATGACATGTCTCAGTACATCTGCTAGACAGTACTTATCAACATTTTAATAATTATCTTTATCTCTGTAATAAAATCGATTATTTTTGTTAGTCTAATGCACCACTTTGAAGATAGTTTACATAATGAAATGACTTCTGTTAGACAACCATTGAAATCAGAGAGTACTGTATAGTTGTTTCATCATAATGTGATACTATTCAGGCATATTCAGTCATGATTCAACCATCGATCGAATAGAAGATATTTATACCTCACTGTGGGTGGATTAATTTTAAACCACTAAATTAAAATCTGATGAGATTGCGGATTTCACAAACTTAACAACTGATGAAGTCTAAATATTTACCAAAATGTTTTATATAATAAAGTAAAGCTTTTCAAAATGATGTCTCATAAAAATGACGAAGTTCGAAATATTGTTTATTTATTCCTATATACCCATTTTACATGACTCATTAGACATATGTGCTAACGTTGTCCGACCTCAAGTCAGACGCATAACGTTTCAACTACTGATTCGGCATCTAAAATCCACTTATCAATTCATGCTAATGTACAGTCACTCAGTGACGAATACTTTATCTTATAATTAAAACTGATCCCCATAAATTGCCTTAATTAGTTTTAGTTATGTGATCCAAAATTGTTTCACAAAACAGTTTGTAATTTTTCGTGTTCTTGATCTGAGTTGTGTTGAAGTCATGTAGAATAGACACTGGGGGGTGGGTGCGGAAATCTAGTGTAGTTATTCGTCTAATGTAACTTAACGTCCCATTCGTGTAGACGAAGATTTCTGAGAGTTATAACAAATTCTATTCAGATATAAGTGTATGTAAACAGATTACTATTTCCTTATTATTCTAGACTTCCCATTAACTTACATGGATCTTAATAAATACAACTGAAATCCGCGTAATGATACCGTCATTCGTATGCAGTAGAAAGCAGTACAAGATTATTTGATTGATCTTTCTTTTTGATTTCATAATGCTTCTGTAGATGTATCGTACGAAATACTGTTCATCTGACTGTACATTAAGTCAGTCTCATTAACACTAGCTTCTGTTATAATTATGATGTAAGTGATAACTTAATATTAAATAACATATCCATTCAACTAATATTTTTACTCTTGATTACTGATAAAAAGACCCTGTTATTAATCTCCCGTTTAATCTGTATGTAATAACTAAACCCTCATAGTTTTATTTACTTCTTTAATAAAGAAAAGTTAGCATAAGCAAATCCTACTAAAATATCACTCAGAAGAAGACTTTGTGGAGATTTTAGTCATTTCAGTAGTTGAATTCATGAGTCAATTGAAGCTAGACCATCATGGAAAACCTGGAATCACTGAACGGCTGTTTCGTTCTAGTATGGGACTCTTCGGCAGTGTGCGTTCACGATCCCGCCTCGTGAGATTCCAACCCAGGACTTCCCCGTCTCGCGCGTGAACGCTTAACATCTAGACTTTAGAGTTGACATCCAATGGTGTTAATGTCTAACTTCAACCAATTTACGAAATCGTGCCACTGTCCATCATTGTCTTTAGTGAGTTACTATATCACAACAGACCCGATTGAACTCCACCAGCCACTGCTTCTCATTAGAACTCCAGGGAATACCTCTTGAAGCTAGTCATCAGTGTTCATATGATGAATAATATCAGAAGTGGTTTGGTGTAGATTTTAGTAATTTCAACAGTTGAATCTCTCAGGGCGAGATCGTTGATTTGCACCACCAAGGAGTTTCATACTAGGACGAAAAGGCCGTCTAATACTTCCAGGTTTTCCATGGTAGTCTATCTTTAATTGACTCATGAATTCGATTATTAAATTAAACAAAATTAATTTTATAAATCTGACAATACACATCTTACCTGAACTAATTTTGATATAAAATTTTGTAATACAATTTAAAAACTTATTTGTTGTAGTGTTATACAAGCCCATAAAGCTTATTCTAACATTTGGACAGGTTCATTTATTCATTCTTTTTAGTCACTTGACAACCAATAAATATCCACTAGTTTTAATTATGAAAATTATTTATACATTTTTAAAAAAACTTATCTATAAATAATCATCTGTTTCAGTTGATATAGTGAAAATGTATGTCAAAAAACGACAGTTGAAGTCATGAGTCAACTGAAACTAGACCATCGTGGAAAACCTCGAAGTACTGGACGGCCATTTCATTCTAGTATGGGACTACTCAGCAATGCGCATCCACGATCCCTTCCGCCGCTCGCACGCGAGACTGATAAGTCATGGGTTCGAATCTCGTAAGGGGTGAGATCATGGATGCGCACTGATGAGGAGTCACATACTAGAATGAAACGGCCGTTCAGTGCTTCCAAGTTCTCCATGGTGGTCTAGCTTCAATTGACTCATGAATTCAACTAGTAAAATTACTAAAATCTCCACAAAACCCCTTCTAAGAAAATATAATCAATTTTAGACATGATTGAAACATTTCGAGCTACATTGATATCTGAAGGGGATATATTGATGAAATGTTAATTTAAATGAATATTCTCATTGATCAAATTGTAATAAACAAGATCATAAATGAGGATAACCAAATGAATCTTAACACAAAATTATATCATCTCTTAGTAAAATCTAAGAACCATACAGTAAATACTTCGGTGAGACTATAATTTCTGGATGACATTTAAGAGACGTTAAAGTGACCTTGAGAGTGTTCACCTAATAACCAGGACCAAATGTGGGTTATAAAAAAGTATGAAGAATTATAATTATGATTTACAGTTGATGGTTAAGGTTAATAATTAGATTTATGGTTTTCATCACGAACTGATATCAGCTATAATGCCAAGACTCTATTTAACCAAATGGATGAGCGAATTTCGCACTAAAATCCCAGACCTATTATATTATACCTGATTGATTCGTTCGTAAATTATAGTATCACCGATACTTCATTTTCAAAATATCCAACAATTATCTCAGACTTTATTGATCCTTCATTTTCATACTAATCATTCTCTGTTCACATTCTCTTGGTTGTATCCTAGCGAATATATATATACTTATTGTATAACTATTCAGTAACCAGGTTTGGTATATTCATGTTCCTCTTATTGTAACCTTCTACCGCCAGGCATTCCACTTTCACTTGGTAATACATATAACTTGTACTTCTCGGCATCAGTAGCACACACCACAAAACAACTTCCTATGTCCATAGATATTTAAGTGTTGAAAACATTAAATGGCAATTGTGGAATAGTTTTATTGAAAAACAACCCCCCCACATTTCAAACAGAATCATTCTTGATTCAAAATAGAAAGAACACTTTACACATTAGTATCAACCAGTATAAAAATCTAGATCCAACGTT